TTTTTCACGGGATGCATTTACTGTTGTAGTCGCTGGATTGTGGTCGTATTTTGTCGCATTACCATGAACAAATTGGGCAAAATAAAAGGACAAAAATATGAAGTGGTCAGAGCAGTGTTGGCCTCAGACATGTCAGGAACTGGAAATGTAATCATGGCTTTTGGAAACATGAATTTGATTCGTCGTTTCAGGCCTGAGTGGAATCATTGAGTGGTTTGACACGATCCACCTTCAATGATTCGTGTTAAATATTGACATCACAAAACAATAACAAAACATTACAATCTGGTCCATCTCAAAGTCACTTAAAACACACACAGAACAAATCTGTAACTGCTACAAATGCACGATGTTTTTTTCTTACAGTTTTTCTCAGTCGCTTTGGTGCATTTTTCACATCATTCTTCACATTTGCACAACTGTTGGTGCATTTCTCACAACAATTAGTGCAAACTGCAAAACCTGGTGGATAACCTGCAAAAGTGCCTCACCTACTCAAAATGAAAAGTTAATTCCTCAAAAGCAAGTCTTCAGGTCAATGAAACTGTCTGTGCCGTCAAAATAATAAGTCCCCAACACCATTGAGTACGAACAAGACAGTCAAATGACTTAGTCATGTTTTCATTGTGAAAGTTTACTCTATTATGTGTTTCCAATGTATAAGAGTCAGATCTATGTGAGCACTTTACACTGAACAGCCATTTGAGAACTGCAGTAAAGCTACACATGACTATATTTAGTAAAGTAACCCAAAGTAACTGAGTACAGGACACATAAGCAAGTATTTCACATTTATTGCATATGCCTTTTGGATTCCACAGCATTGTGCAAAAAAAGAAAAGAAAAAGTAAATACTCACAGTATTTAGAACAAACATAAGAAATACCATTATGGTAGAACTGTGCACAAATGTAAACCATACAACAGTACATATTACTGGAATAAACTAAATAATTTATTCTTGGACATCCAGGCGTTCCTGTCTGGCCACATGTTTTCATCTACATCACAGCGGATGTCTTCCCTTGCAAGGCAGCGAGGAAAGTATCTCCTTGAGTGGCAAATCCACCCTCTGCAGGACTCCACTGTGATGTCATCACATGCAGAATCCATGGCTGCTAGAAGGACCATTTGAGCATGTGGACGCCGGTCATAAACTCTCCACCTCCAGGCAGAAAAAAACTCTTCAACCGGATTAAGGAATGGGGAGTAGGGGGGGAGACACTCAACCAGAATCCTGCCATGTGCTGCAAACCACTCTCTGACCACATGAGAGTGGTGAAAGCTCCACATTATCCCACACAATGACATATTTACTCAGATGGTCTCCAGTTAGACCCCTCTCATTCTCAGGTATTATGCTCTGTAGAGAATGTCTAGAAACGCAAGAAGGTGTTGGGTGTTGTAAGGACCAAGAAGGGGGATATGGCCGAGGACACCATTTTCCGAGATGGCTGCACACATTGTGATATTCCCCCCTCGTTGGCCTGGAACATCAATTGTTGCCCTCTCTCCAATTCGGTTTCTTCCACGCCTTCTTCCTTTGGCCAGATTGAAACCTGCCTCATCAACATAAATGAGCGTGTGCAGTGGTTCCCTGGCCTCTAGCTCCAGTATACGCTTTATCACAGAAGAGAGGGAGAGAAAAAACAAAATGTAAGAACTTTATGTAACATTTTTGACATCATAATATAAAGTATGTAGCCTACTGTGAATATACAGGACTAAATCTACACAAAGTACTGTAAAACAGTTTACAGTGATGAAAATTAGATTATGCGTACACTCAAGCTTTACCTGTACATACTGGTGACGGGTCTCCTTCACCCTTTCACTGCTCCTTTGAAAGGGCACTTTGTAAAGTTGTTTCATGCGCATCTCATTCCTCCTGAGTACTCGGTCAATTGTTGAAATTGAAACAAATTCAATATTCCCGAATATATTGTCATCCTCTATAACAGAGCTTTGAATTTCTCTCAATCTAATGGCATTGTTTTCGGTCACCATTACACAAATGGCTTCCTCTTGTTGTGGAGTGAAAACAGGCCCCCTTCCACCTCTGTGAGGTTGTCTTGCAGTCCTATGAGTCGGAGAAAAAATACAAGTTTGTACAAATATAGTATTGTACAGTAAATGAGATATACAGTAACAAGGTATTGGATTACTGTCCAACACTATACATACCTGTTCTCCCTACGAAATGTCTGAATGATGGAATTCACGGTGGTTCTCCCTACATTTGGTCGCACACGTCGGCCAGCCTCAACCATAGTGAGGCCGTGATTTACAACATGGTCCACAAGTGTAGCCCTAATTTCATCAGGAATTTGCTGATGTACTTCACCTCTTCTTCCTCTGCCCCTGTTTTGTTCCCTTCCCCGTCCTCCACGGATTCTCACTCTTCCTCCACGACGCTGATGTTCCATGTTTGTGTCACAGAATTGTACGAAACGATACACACTATGTCCTGCTTGGTTCACATATGCCAAGTGAGGGTTCCATGGGATTCAGCTCTGACTGATTGTGGCTTGTCATTGGTTACAACTAGTGCTTCACACACCTCCTCATAAGTGAAAGTTGAAAATCACCTGAGAGCAATTGTTCAATTTAGGAGAAATGTTCAGGAAAAAAATAGATGAAGGAATGTATGAAATTAAATTGAAAGCAGTTTGATTTTGAGAACTAGTTCAACAGTTTTGAGTGTGATGACCAAAGCGATGAAATGAGGACTATTGGTTTTAGAGTGAAAGACTATTCAGAAGTCATAAGTATGTTTCATTTTGACTGACAGGACAGAAGCAAATGATCATGTTAAAAAACAGCAGAGAATTGTATAAAAGTAACTGTTACATGAACAAAAGCATTTGAAATGTGTTCAGAGGAATGACAAACTGCCACGATGATGTGCACCAGTGACACGATGTTGTGGAGGTTGAACTAATAGTTATGAGAACTTTAAGTCTGATGTGAAAAATGCACCAAAGCGACTGAGAAAAACTGTAACATACATACGCACACACACACACACACACACACGCACACACACACGCACATACACACACACACTCTCTTTGGTCACTTGTGTTTTGGAAATAACCTCCGTGTTGTTACATAAACTGCAGTCTGCCTTCAGAGGAGATAACACCGACACATCAGAGATTCTTTACATAATCCTCGTCCACAACATTTGACTTTTCACAACATTTAAAACCAAAACATGAATCAGAGCATGAAGCAGTGGAACAAGCATCGCCGCATCAGGCTTTAGTTTTGGAATTTTCAAAGCAAAAACCAAAACATGTTTGTGCTTAAAACACTTCAGAAATAGAATTTGCTATCGATATCATTTAGAAAAAAATAATTGCCACCGACGGCAACAAACTACCACAGTTCGGAGGGTTTGCTTTCTGGAGCAGAAACTATAATTATTTATGTACATATTTTTTAGCACTTTATTTGATGGTTTCTGCTCCTATTTTTATTTCTGTGGATGTTCATGTTCTGTTGCTGTTTAGTCAAACTTATTTTGGATAATGCTAAACTTTGAAATGTCATGATGATAATGAGGACTTTAAACAGTTTGGTTTGGTCCGGGTGCGATGAGAAAAGCGTTTTTATTTTTCGTGTTTATTGTTTACTTTTCGTTTTGTTTACAAGAAATAAAAAAATACAAATGAGAAGAAAATAAAGTGAGTAAAGGTAAACTCCTTATAAATCACTTTCTTTGATAAATCTGCTGAAAAACTTAACATTCTTTTGGGTAATTTCTCAGAATTCCATTGGTTTGAATCGGAGCAGCCAAAATGACGGCTCTGGGAGTTGTAGTGTGAATCAATTGTTTAAAGTGATGGAATGTTTGGTGGTTATTCGATTATAGTCATATCTAAAATGTATCAAATGTATTGCAAAATAAATATATTTAATATGAATATGTATTTAAGCAATTACAAATATATTAAAAATGTAGGAGTGAGTGGTTATGATGGGATTAAGTGAATAACAGGATAGATGCAGCCTGTGTGTAAATGCAGTCCCTGTGATTGCATTAGGCTCTTGGGGACATAGAGAAGCACAGGAGCCGCAGACGCAGAGGCTCCTGAGGCAGAGACTGTGGAGGTCTCTATCACAGAAACATGGAGGGAACATTCTTACAATACTCACAGTTCTTCCAGCTGCAGATTCAGCCTTTTGTAAAGTGTTTAATGGGACACGAGAAATGCAGTGTAAGTAACCCGCTCATTATCTTATTATTAGCACTAGCATAAAATTAACATGACTCAATGTTATAGACATGGCTAATGCTAATAACAATATTGTTTTTTCCTCTTCATTCAGTATTTCTTACGGTTTTGGATTTGAATTACACAAATTATTCTAATGTTCCCTTCCATGTTTTTATTTTCCTTTATCTTAATGCATTGTTTACAAAAAAATCCAAGTGTCTACCTCCATCAGATTAAGATTAAGAGATTCTTTATTCATCCTATAAAGTGGAGACATTTCAGATATTGACTTTTTCCCAAGAAATCATTTGAAAAAGTTGCTGAAGTAAAAAAAAAATCCTCCAATACAAGTTTGACTGGAAGTTTTTTTTATTATTATTCTTGTGCCTGATCTGTGTTTCTGTTGCTTTAAAAATGGGCTAATCTCAAATATTTGTAACGGTTTGTTATTTCTAAACTAAATGTTTATCTTTTATCATTACTACTGTGTACATCATTCTAAATTGCCATTAAATAAATCCATTCAAGTGATGAGGCTTTACCTTGTCACAATAGAAATAATCACAACAGAAATAGTCCATTGAAACCAGTGCATCACCGTCTCATGACCACATCACCGAACCCTCATCGACACCTGTGGGAGGGGCACTTTTTATCCATTCAGCCTTTTGTCCTGTTTCTCAGTCTGTTGAGGCTTGTGTCATGGTCTCATTTACATAATAATTCACTATAATGAGTTTGATTAACGTGTTCTTTCAGGTAAAGCTAAAGAAGCCAATGAACGACCAGAGGGAGGCTTACTGGCAGGAGACGGGGCGATGGGCGGGATACGAGGAGAGCTTCGACCCTCAGTCCGGGGTCTGGGCCTCTTCAAATATATCCTTCCTCACCTTCAAGAGCCTCATACAAATAAGACGCACTATGAACACAGGTACTGGGACTTGAATCCTCTTTTTATCCCAGATTCTCAGTCAAATCATCTCATGGATTGTCTGCTCTTTTAGGAGTAAGTCTGTTCAATTGTGAGGAGAAAAATTATGCCGCCGTTGCTGAGAAAATGGTCAAAGAGTTGGTGAACAAAAAGGAGATTCGTGCGGGAGATCGAGAGGGAGTTCTCAGGGCGCTGCTTCAGAACCACAGGTAACGGTCTCGGGACACGCCTCACTGCAACCAGAACAGACACAGAATGAGAAAGTTGACTGGTCCGGTCACTGGTGCTGAATATGTAGTTATGGGATCATGGCCCGACCACGATGCGCAAACAAAGGTTCTCATTTAAGCTGGATTTGGTCTCAACAAAACCCTCTGCACAATAATAATAATACGTTTGTGATCCTGAAACCTTGCCACAGAATGTATCATACACGTGTCATGAAGTGGCCTCTATTTAGACCTCCTCAAACTCAAACATGTGATTCTATCGGTTTGTTTATCATCTGTCTCTCCAACGTCATTGCACATAAATACTATCAGGGTGCTTGCGCAAGTCTTAAAAGTCTTAATAAGTATGGAATTTTGACACACTGTTTTCCAGACCTTGAAAAGTCTTGAATTTTGTGTGAAAGTCTTAAAAATGTATGGTAGAATTTTACAGTATGCTCGAAGGCATTGTGAATAATGTTCATTGAATACTAGCCTACAAAAAATAAAATTTCTAATGAACACAGTTGGTATAGTCTCAACCAAAGAAGTAGACACACAAGTATACAAGTACATCTAGTTAAGGTATTGGGAAAAAAATATCAGTTTTTAAAAAGTCTGGAAAAAGTCTGGAATTCTAATTTGGAAAAAGAGCAAGCACCCTGGACAATTAATCTTGATTTTTAATAAGTCACAGTAGAATATTGGTATATAAAAAAATTATACCAGATGTGTTTACTTTTTTTATTTATTATTATGAAAGCCGCAGCATTGATGGCAATGGGCTCCTATGGTATTAGAACACATAATTGTAAAGATGATTTATTATTTTTACTTTATTGCTATTATTCATTCCTAATAAATACATTCCCATTGGTCTTTCAATCTCCAATTACATATTTTCTTTATATTTAGTGACGAGGTCTATTTTCATTCTGCTTTAGAATATGCAAATTCATATCACAATGCCACCGTAACGTAATCATACTTCTATACTTTTTTATTATCACTTCTATACATTTTTAATATCACTTCTTTTCTTTTTTATTATCACTTCTATACTTTCAGCCCTCACCAGCAGGAAACATGACTGTTATTTGTGTAAATCAAAGCCAAAACTGTAAAAAATAATGAGTACAGTAGAAAAACAATATTAGCATTAGCATTAGCCATGTCTTTAACGTTAGCCATGTTAATATCATGCTCCATCTACTCTCACTGATGTCGTTGTGTCCTTGGGCAAGACACCCCAGCTCTGACTGCCACTCCCCCGACTCAGAAATGGATTAAGGGGAAGAAAATGAATGAATGGATGAATTACAGTTTCTCCGATGACTCCCAGCTCTAAAACACGTTCAACAGTGACTTTACGGGAAGTTTCCATGATTTAGCCGATCTGTCTCTTAACCAGTCGGTCTTCTTTCTGCTTACTGTAAATGAAAACATATTAATAACTCGCCGGTCACCTGTATTCTTTGGAGGTTACTATAAATACACCTTGACATACTTCTGAGGCTTGAAATGTAATTGTCCGTGTATTTACTGTTTACTAAAGAATGTGTTGTACCCACGCCCTGGTCAGCTGTGCGTGGCCTTTTTAATGAGCGGAACCGTCATTGCGGGTCCCAATGACATGATTCTGTTTGTAGTCCGTCCAGTAACGCGGAGACCCAGGCCCTGACCGGAGGAAGTGACCTGCGGAAGTTTGCAGTGAAGGAGAGAGTAGGTGCAACATGTATGATTTCATGATACAGTAAATACACCAGGCGCCTTTAAAGAGGCACTATGGAGCGTTTCTGGTTTCATAATGCCACCTGGTTTCCTCGATTGATTGATTGATTGATTGGTTTTATTATTATTATTTAGGTCATCACATCAACAAAATTATAGTTCATACTTACTGTAGACAAACTTATATTTATACAGATATTATATAATGAAATGCAACCACAAAAGGAACAGGCAGAACTGCTCCGCAACATCAGTTTAACCAGCTGCTATTGAATATATCATTTGAATTATTTTGTTTTTTATATTATACTAAAAACAGATTTATGGACTTTATCAACATTTATAGGCATTGCTCATCTGCTCCTTTTGGATAGATGGTTCTGTGTGTTTTTATGTCACTGCATTTTCTTGTGTTTGAACGATATGATTCTCTGATCTGTGTCGGCGAATCAAAATCTAAAGTCCTCCGAGAAAGCTACTGTTGTGATTTAGGGCTAAGCAAGAATACATTGAATGGAATTGAAATCAGGTGACAGGGTCTCCTCTCCAGAGATTACATAAGTTAGAGTTAATGCCTTACTGTAGCAGGGAGAATTTAGGCAAAATAAAGCTACTGTACCTGAATAAAACAATAAGATAAAAAAAATCCGTTCCAACGAGTTCCTTATTCTCGAAACAGAATTCATTTTTTTCATGTAATTTGGCCTCCGTCACATCTTTGGATCAGCTTTCCCAGACATAAAAGTGAATAAGAGAAGACCAGCCTCACTCAGCTCTCAGCCCAAAGAGTCATATAGTGACTCACAAGGATTTTTCCAACGAGTTTGCAAAAGAGAAAATGTTTTATAATAAGTTGTTATGTTATGATCTAATTTGTTCACAACATCTAACTTTTACAAAACTGCATTCCTCAGGGAAAATGAAAGGTCTTATTTATGAAACAAATACATTAGATATGCCTTTTTAATTATATTTTTGAATTTACAGTTTTAATCAAAAAGTGAACATAATTACAGAAATAACAGACAAAAACAGAAAAAACAAAGAAAAATAATTTAATAACAAAATAATAATAATAATAAAAAGATATGCCCTTTTAAACATAATCAAATCAAGAAGGGGGTTAACCTTTCTCCGTAAATATCCATCTGCCAAAATAACACATGTTGGGTGTTATTATAATGTATAAATAAGAAGAGAATAACCTCTTGTCCTTTTTCAGAAACAGGATTCTGAGAGCGTGGAGGCTTCGCTGGTTTTAGTGGGTGAGGATTACTTTTGATACATTTTCAGCACATATACACACATGTATGTAGCACATGTATGTAGCACATGTATGTAGCACATGTATGTAGCATGTGTCTGTGCTGAGGCTCTCTGTGGCCCTCAGGAGCGCTGGACTTCCTGGAGAAGCCCACAGTGGTGTTTGTGCGTCTGAAGGAGGCGCTGGTGCTGGAGTCGGGCTTCGAGTCTCCGGGACACGTGCGCTTCATCTTCATCCTGATCGGCCCCAGCAGCAGCAACATCGACTACAGAGAGACCGGGCGAGCGATGGCTGCTCTGATGGCGGATAAGGTGAGCTCATGACACTTACACAATCCATCCATACATCTGCTGAGTTCCGAATACAGTAAGATTAAGGCTGAGAGATTTTTTATTCATATAATAGTTAGGACATATCAGTACAGCTAGATTTTAGGTTAGGTGTTCACGTTTCCAGGGCTATGATCATTTCATTCACAAGGAATTGAAGGAAACTCAACAAGGGAAACAATCACACAAGACGTTAAAAAATAATCATAAAATAATCACAGTACATTAAAATGAGATGGAGACAAGATAAAGTCCTTCAGTTTAATTGCACAGCTAGTTTTAACCTGGATTTGAATATTGTCAGAATAGAAGTCTGTCTGACATTTTCAGGAAGACTGTTTGAAACACTGCCTACCCATGGTTAGTCCTGACTCTGGGCAGCAGGAGGACAGTCCCTGTGCTCCTCAGAGTCTGAGTTGGTTCATATGGCACTGACATGTCACTGATGCCCAAGGCCATGGGGAGACACAAGCAGAGCTGCATTAAAGTCTAGTACGAGTGTTATTGTCAACAGAGCATATTTTAATTTCTCTTAACATGTAGCTGATGTGGTTTATTTACCGGATTGATTTATAGTTGTAATGAATGAACAGTAAAATCTTGTTTCAGGTGTTTAATCTGGCAGCGTCACAGGCCAAAACCCCCCGAGAGCTGACGGAGGCGCTCACAGACTTCATGGACTGCAGCATCGTCATTCCTCCCACTGAGATCCAGAACGAGGCGGCGCTCACCTCCATCATCAACTTTCAGAAAAAAATCTTGGAGGAACGATGTCCGCCCAAGGATCAAGTCTGCCTCGACATGAAGCCCCGTAAACGTATGTGCCGACCATGTTTGTTGTGTCACATACAGAGCGTCCTGAAAAGAGCACTATATAAAACCAAAGTATTTTTATTATTTTCATTTTGGGACTTAAACGATTTCAGTCTTTTGGATTTGCTTATTGGGATAATTGCACCAACGACACTATTGTCCTTTCAGCCTCCATCATTAACGTCCCTCCCCCTGAAGACCCCCTGGCCCGCACTAACCGGCCCTTTGGGGGGATGATCCGAGACATAAAGAGGCGGTACCGATACTACAGGAGTGACATCACAGACGCTCTGAACGCCCAGGTCCTCGCTGCCGTCATCTTTATCTACTTTGCTGCTCTGTCTCCTGCCATCACCTTTGGAGGACTGCTAGGTTTGTGTCATGTCTCTATCTGCAACGTTAGCGGGAAAAGGGGAGCGGGAAGAAGCTGATTCGAGTTTATTCAAACTAAACTATCCCCATCCCTTTTTCATTTGGGATGGGGATCTTTTCTGATGTGCTCTGTACGTTCCTCGGTACATGACACAATTGAATATATTTCCAAACTATTTAAAACAATTCAATAAAACCTACAGGCTTTTGGTCCCTAAATCTCAGCCCCATTTTACTAAAACACCAAAACAATACTAACTAAAATCTGTTTGTATCTGTTTAAAAGATTCACACACAAAAACAGCGCAGCCCTAATTTTGTATCAACATCTGAGACACGTCAGTGCCATATTGGGGAGCACAGGGACTGGCCTCCTGCTGGGACTCTGAGATAAGATAAGATAAGATAAGATGTGCTTTATTTATCTCACATAGGAGAAATTTACATATCACATTTAGCATGGATAGAGACACTCAGATTGTGCAAAAGAAGGAAATGTGCAAACATGTTACATGCAGGATATATATGTACGATAAAGTGACAATAATTATGTGCAACAAAAGTGACAAGTGTCAATTGGAAACAGTGTCAATAGTAGCAGGTTTTCACACAGTGATCATTTAAAGAGACTTATTGTACAGTCTGACAGCGGTGGGGATAAAGGCCCTGCGGTAGCGCTCCTTCCTACACTGAGGGTGTCTCAGTCTTCCACTGAAGGAGCTCCTCAGCTCCTCTACAGTCCTGTGCAGTGGGTGGGAGGTATTGTCCATGATGGAGGTGGCTTTGGCTAGCACCCTCCTGTCCCTCACCTCCTCCACAGAGTCCAGGGAGCAGCCCAGAGTGGAGCTGGCCCTCCTGACCAGCTTGTTCAGTCTGTTTCTGTCCCGCTCTGTGCTGCCCAGGGCCCAACACACGGCAGCGTAGTAAATGGCAGAAGCTACCACAGAGTCATAAAAAGTCCTGAGCAGAGGCCTTCTCACTCCGAAGGACCTCAGCCTCCTCAGAAGGAAGAGGCGACTTTGGCCCGTCTTGTACAGGGCGTTTGTATTATGGACCAGTCCAGTTTATTGTTAATGTAAACACCCAGGTACTTGAAGCTGTCCACCAGCTCAATGTCCTCCCCCTGGATGTTCAGCAGCGTGCGGGAAAGTGGTTTTCTCCTGAAGTCGATGACCATCTCCTTGGTCTTACTGGTGTTCAAGCACAAGTGGTTGCAGTCACACCAGTCGACAAAGTCCTTGATAACCGACCGATATTCCAGTTCGTTTCCCTCAGACACACAGCCCACGATGGCGGAGTCGTCGGAGAACTTCTGAAGGTGACAGCTGTGTGTGTCGTGTGTGAAGTCTGAGGTGTAGATGGTGAAGATGGTGAGAGGACAGTGCCCTGAGGGGCCCCAGTGCTGCAGACGACCACCTCAGACTCACAGCTGCGCAGCCGCACGTACTGTGGTCGGTCTGAGAGGTAGTTGATGGTCCATGCAGTGAGGCTATTGTCCACTCCCGCGTCCTCCATCTTCCCCTGCAGCAGTGCCGGCCTGATGGTATTGAAAGCGCTGGAGAAGCACAGGGACTGGCCTCCTGCTGGTGCCCAGCATCAGAACTAAACATGGGGAGGCAGCATTTCAAATGTATGCAGCTAAAATCTGGAACAGTCTTCCTGATAATGTGGGAGAGGCTTCTTCTTTGACGATGTGCAAATCCAGGTTAAAAACAGATCTGTTTAGGGATTTTATCTTCACTTAATTAAATGTACAGTGATTATCTATTGTTTCAATGCCTTGTTTTGTTCCTCTCTTGTTTAGTTCAGCACTCTGGGTTGCCTTGTGTATGAACACATTATGTATTTATAAGAACATATGAAGATGGTCTGTAACATTGAATGGTCCCATGCAGTATTTGTAACTCTCGCTCTGTAAACCTTCTCCTTGGCAGCGGATAAGGTGGACAGCATGATGGGAGTCCCGGAGCTCCTCATTTCCACCAGCATCCAGGGAATCATCTTCTGTTTCGTGGCAGCTCAGCCGGTGCTGGTCATTGGCTTCTCGGGGCCTCTCTTACTCTTTGAGGAGGCCTTCTATGCAGTAAGTCACCGCTTCCTTCAGTACGTGCTGTAAAGACATGCTTTGGCTATTTTTTTCTTTCTCTTGTTCTCAGTTCTGCCAGACCCAAGAGATCGAGTACATCGTGGGCAGAGTGTGGGTGGGCGTGTGGCTGATCCTCATCGTCGTGGTCATTGTGGCGTTCGAGGGCAGCTTCCTGGTGCGGTACATTTCCCGCTTCACCCAAGAAATCTTCTCCATCCTCATCTCCCTCATCTTCATCTACGAGACCTTTGCCAAACTCGGAAGGGTACCCCATCTCATTATTCCATCGACACACTGCAAAAAGTGGTGAAAAATATGTCAAAAAAATCTGAAATTGGGCAAAAAGTGTCTTTGTTTGAGCACATTTTGACGGCCTTATCATTTATCACCAGCATTTTCACTCACCTTTTCTACTATCATCCATCCACAGATCTTTGGGGCCCATCCACTCATTCTGAATTATGACCATGTGAACGCGACTGTGGAGAATCCCTGGATGCCGAGGGTGGAGGAGGCCGTCGTCTATGACAACGCCACCGGAAACACGACCGTCATCATCAGGACCATAAAGCCGCCGTATCCCAACACTGCTCTTCTGTCCATGTTCCTGATGCTGGGATGTTTCTTTATCGCGTTCTTCCTTCGCCAGTTTAAAAATGGCACCTTTCTTCCTGGGAAGGTAAGCTTTTGGTTTTGCCTGATCGTCAATCTGCAGTAGCAAAGACGGCACTAGACTGTAAACCAGACCAGCCCAAAGCCAAATTGTCATTGAATCAGTCTTAGATGTATGGACTCACACAAATCTTGGTGTTTCATCCTGTATTTTACTCATCAAGAGAAAGCTTACTCCTATCCCCATCCTAACCATGACCAATTTAACTGTTCTTACACTGCAAAAAATGATTAAATATGAGATAATAAAAGCTTGAATCGAATGGTCTTTATCTTAATTTGAGTACAATCAGACTGTTCTACCAAGATTTTCCAATGGGGCAAAGCCATTTCAACAACTTTTCCTGTATTTTTTTGAAACAAGATACTTTTGCTTGTCCGATTGGCATTTTTGCATTATAACCCTAACCCTAACCTTATCGAATTGTGACTACTAATCACAAATTAATATCCAAGAATATTTCCCTATTCCTTGGACGAACATTTTAGAGAGTCCCTTAAACTACTGTAGCAAATTGTGAAGCAGACAGACCGAAGCCACATTTTAATTTTGAAATGGCAGACATCATAATCCAATAACCTCATCCACTGCAAATTCTGTCGCAACGTGTTAAGTGTCCTATGTTGTGGATGTTACTTGTAAAAATTTAAGTTGAGATCAAAGTGAGTCAGTCCAGTGATTCACAAAAGTGTTTTAAATGCTGTTTGTAGGTGAGGCGGTTGCTGGGAGACTTCGGCGTGCCCATTGCCATCTTCCTCATGATCTTTGCAGACTATGGCATCGAGGACACGTACACTCAGGTGAGCCTCACTACAAAAAAAGTATTATGAGAAAAAACAGGGACAATCAAATATAACCTTTATCCTTTTACAGAAACTCACGGTTCCCAAGGGTCTGATGGTGTCCAACCCGGCCAAAAGGGGCTGGCTCATTAACCCGTTTGGGGAGCACAAGCCGTTTCCTGCCTGGGTCATGTTCGCCTGCTGCGTCCCGGCTTTACTCGTCTTCATCCTGATCTTTCTGGAATCGCAGATTACAACGTGAGTCACTCTGAGACTTCACAACCCTCTCTGAAAGTCATGTTTTAAAGCTGAAGCGGGGGGCAGGTCACAGATGTATAGTAGAACTGTTAAACTTACGCACTGATATGGTTTTGGTGTGAATTGGATCGTAATAAATCTTTATTCTAGACTCAAGGTCAATATAAAAGGCAATACAAAGACATCACAAGACACAGACAAATAGAAAAAAGTTAGATAGATAGATACTTTATTGACCCCTGTAGGAGAAATTCAAGTGTCCATAGCAGCAGAAACACATCCATCCAAACAGGGAATAAAAACAACACTTGTAAAACACAAAACAACAACTGTTTCAGAGCTACTTAGGACTTTTTGCCGTTTCCAATACTTATTATACTTTTTTAAAATATACTGTATTGTTACTGAACGGATCCAACAGCATGAATGTAACCTGCAGGATCTGGATCTCATGAGGATTGTTTTTGTTCTGTCGTCTTAGTCTAATCATCAGCAAACCAGAGAGAAAGATGGTGAAGGGCTCGGGCTTCCACTTCGACCTGCTCCTCCTGGTCGGGATGGGGGGAGTGGGCGCCATCTTTGGAGTTCCCTGGCTGAGTGCGGCCACGGTGCGCTCAGTCACCCACGCCAACGCTCTCACCGTGATGAGCAAAGGCCCCAAACCCATGATCGAGAAGGTGATGGAGCAGAGGGTCAGTGGGATCCTGGTGGCCTTGTTGGTCGGTGAGTGATCTTCAGCTTTGATTATCATTTCAGACAAGACTCCGGTTTGATTATATGTTCCTTTTCCAGGTCTGTCGATTCTCATGGAGCCGATCTTGAAGTTGATCCCAATGTCCGCTTTGTTTGGGATCTTCCTTTACATGGGAGTGACCTCTCTCAACGGCATACAGCTGTGGGATCGCATTCTTCTTCTCTTCATTCCCAAAAAATACCATCCGAATGAGCCCTACGCCACCAGAGTAAGATCCCACTCATGGTCCTATGCAGCATACGGTTCCATGAGGCCTCTGTATTTTTTCTAGATTAAAGCCACTGCACCTAATTTTGAAACTACAAAGAAATAACCCATTCATCCATCCATTTTCTACCCCTTAATCTATTTCTGGGTCGGGGGGTGGCAGTCAGAGATGCCACCCAAGTCACATAGCACCAGCCCCTCACTGATCCTCTGCAGGTGGTGAGTCCACAGGAGGATGGCTGCTCTCTAAGTGTGAGCAAAGTGGGGTTAAGTGTCTTGCCCAAGGACACAGTCATCAGTGGGAGTCAAAGAAATAACTATTTGATCAAATCCATGTAACTGGCGCAGTGGTTAGTGCTTGTGCCTCACAGTAAGAAGGTCCTGGGTTCGAGTCCACTAAAAACATGTAGAATAGGTCTGGCATGCGCCTCCTATATGGCGACCTCACTCCCATCTCTGTGTGGAGACAAAATTCCCCAAAAAAACCACAATTGTTAAGTGCTTTGTGAAAGACAGAAAAGTGAAATAAAGAAGACCAACATCACTCATCAACAGGCTCTCAATGTGTAACACATACAATATTTTTTTAGTCTGGTTTGTTCACAAAATGTTGCTTAAACCAGATTTACCGGTTCTACCTTAGATCATATGAGGAGGATTTGTAAGTGATTGATCATGTTTGTACAGATATACTTCATTGTGAACAGGTTCCAGGGTTTAAATTACAGTCACAGTTTATATCACAACTATCTGAGAGAGACCACAGAGAGACCAGAGAGAGACCAGATTAGAAAGACCAGATAGACCAGTCAGAGAGACCAGACTAGAGAGAGAGACCAGAGAGAGACTAGAGAGAGACTAGAGAGAGATCAGAAATACCAGAGAGAGAGAGATCAGAGAGACCAGAGAGAGACACAGCTTTTCTTCTGATGTTAAATAAAGGAAAATGGCATGTTTTACTAGCGGCTCTTTAATGTTGTTGAAGTACACACACAGTGCAGGAGACGCTGTTAGCACGCAAGCAACACCGCACACATAAACATCCGTGAGGCCGCGAAAGGTGAACCACGTCATAGCCAGGGACCACTGTACGCACACAAACACACACACACACACACACACACACACACACGCACACACAGTGATTGGTAATTATGACATATGCCTCCCCAGGTGAGCACAGGACGGATGCACTTCTTCACAGCCATCCAGGTGGCGTGTTTGGCCGTCCTGTGGATTGTGAAGTCCAGCCCTCTGTCTCTCGCTCTCCCCTTCGTGCTCATCCTCACCATCCCGCTGCGAATGTTCATGACGGGCCGAGTCTTCACCGACCTGGAGATGAAATGTGTACGTGCATCATCTTTTTCATCTTAAACATTTTTATTTTATTTGTTCTCGCCTGTTGTTTTCTCTTATGTAGGTGTGTGTATGTACATATGTTTGTGTGTATATGTATGTATGTATGTATGTATGTATGGGTGTGTGTAGATATAGTATGTACAATGCAAAAAAATTATAAAATATGAGGTAATAATTGCTTATATTTAATTGTTTTTTTTTTAAATCCTTATTTGAGTTGATTTTGACTGTTTTAAAACAAAATTCACCAATGGGACAAAGCCATTTAGTCTTATTTCAGGAACTGTTGCCTTTTTTTCTCATTTCACGGGAGACATTTCTTGTGTCTTTTTAAAACAAGAACATTTTACTTTGTCCCATTGGCAAATCTTGTTGTAAGGCAGTCAAAAAGTGCTTAAATTAAGATATGTTAAGCCAAATTTGAATTTTTGAAAAACTTATTTTTCAAATTTTTTTGCAGTGTGTGTGTGTGTATGTGTGTACAATGTCCATCCATCCATCCATCCATTTTCTTCCCCTTAATCCATTTCTGGGTCGGGGGGGTGGCAGTCAGAGCTACCCCCAGTACACATAGCACCAGCCCAGATGTAATGTATTGTATATTATTTACAGTTTGCACTGGAACTGAAAACACAAAAATTAGAACAACAAGAGTTCTTTCTCCTAAACAAAACCTACTCATACTCTGAATCCTCACTAATAAACTGCTTTCTCACAGTTGGACGCGGACGACGGCAAAGTGACGTTTGAGGAGGAGCCGGGGCAAGACGTGTACTGTGAATCGCAGATGCCGCTGTAGACGACTTTGTAGAAGAATGTTGAGATTTTATTTATTTGAAAATTGAAAAAGTTTATTTGTATAAAGCTAATATTGACCCATGCCAAAATATTTTATATGAGACCAACTGTTGATGTAAGAATACATCTGAAAATAAATGTATAGTTGTTTATATTTACATTATGTGCTATTTTGATGAAAGGAAACTTCACTTATTTAGAAGGCAACCAGAAATGTAAAATGTTTTTAAGCCTTTGTCGCAGCAGGATGTTTGTAAAAGGAAAAACCAAAGTGAAGTTTATGTAAAGACCGAATGTGCCTTAATAAAAATGTCCTAAACTCCTTTTTAACTTTTGTGTTTCCTTCGTTCCTAAGAGCGACCTGTGGATGGAACAGTTTCTCATTATCTTATATCATATTTTATCATGGAGACATTTCCTTTTCATATCAGATTTAAAGATAACTTCTGGGTGAGAGCGATTACATCCCATCATGTGTGTTTTTGTTTCTTGACCCAAATCTCGGAACCATTCTTCTATTAAGGCCAGGGTTCCTAATTTTCTCCATCCATCCATCCATTTTCTACCCCTTAATCCATTTCTGGGTCGGGGGGGTGGCAGTCAGAGATGCACCCAAGTCACATAGCACCAGCCCCTCACTGACCCTCTTGCAGGAGCCCTAACTTTCTCCTACATAAATAATACATAGTGTGTGTCCCACCAGAGAGAGTGGTGTACGATTAAGATGTTTTGAACTTGATCTTATTAGAAAATACTTTTTGCAAGAACCCTGTGAGTCACTATTTGACCCTTAAAATTATAATTAATTGATGTATGTTGTAAAATTATACAACATAAAATACTAAATTACGTGGTATCTTAACCCAATTTGTAAAAAAAAAAAAAAAAAAAAAAAAAAATTGTTTTGAGAAATGTATTATGAAATAGATACAAAGGGACACCCTGTAACTTGATAAGAGATAGTGGACTACTTTGATCAATAACGGAAATAACGGGAAATTATGCAAGAAAAATGTAGAGAGATTTTGTGGGAGGCCAAGTCTCTGTACTGAAAGTGTCCTGGATTTAGGAGCTCGTGAAGCAAAATGTTGCCACTTTTGGCCTAAAGGGTTAAAAACAAAAAATCACTTTGAAGGTTGCATGCGAGCATGTATTGATTAACTGTAATAGGTATGAGAGGTTCAGGCAAACGATAAAACAAGATATACAAGAGCGAGGGTTGGACGTCACAATGAAAAATATTTTAACAAAAGTGAAGGTGAAAAAGATCATAGCATATCTAAAGGATGCAGGACTTATAGGGAGAGTGTAGTTTATAGGTGTATGTGTGAGTAGGCAGATATATGCATGTATATGAGTGTGTGTATGTGTGTATAGATATATGTGTGTATATACAGGTGTGGACTCTGGTTCACACTCCAGTACAGTAGGTGGCGGAAATGCACCGTTAAAGTTGAGTGCCACCCACCAATAATACTGCAACAAGAAGAAGAAGAAGAAGAAGAAGAAGAAGGTTGCATGCAGTACCGCCCCACAACAGCAGAGGGAGCCACAGTCCCCACAGCCTGCTCTGCGTCTCAGAGACAGCACACATGTGGGTTTGTTTCATGGGTTAGGGTTAGGGTTAGGGTTAGGGTTAGGGTTAACTGGATAGAGTATTACTAGCTTGTAGCTGAATAACTCATGTGCTCAGGGGATTCTCGCGGTACTGCAGACTAAACCAGACTAAATTCACGTGGGCTACCCAGAAATTTTCCCCATAGAACTCAATGCAAATTAAAACAACTCAACCTCAGCTGACAGAGAACCTACAGCTTTAATAAAGGTCGGATTTTGTGGGGATTTTAGTGTCCCTTGTCATCCTGAACTTTTTTTCTTCTTAAATCCTTCGGTTTTGTTTAAATCCACATTTTAGTGCCACAAACTCTGCTCGTCTGGCTCTCGCTCTAACTCCCGCTCTGATGAACTGCTCTGATTGGTCAGAGCGCGGCCGAGCCCCTCTGTGCACGTGCGTGAGACCCGGTGTGAGACCCACACACGCGTGTTTGGCGCAACGCATTATGGGAGATCATCCACTGCGCAGAACCGGGAGGACCAGACGATGCCCAAATACAGGCGAGTTTCCCATAGATCTTTGCGAGTTTCAGGCAACTTCCGCTAATCTTTCAGCCCCCATGCCGTCACAAAGCGCCACTGAGCACAAACCATTCATTGGAATAGGGCGCCATCTTGGATCGCCGGGGCTGCGGGTTTGTTTGGGTCATGGATTTACTTTTTCTAACTCGATATATAACTTTAAAAACCAGAGTTTAGCGTCGTGTTTACGTGTTAGTAACATAAACTGTAAGTAAGCTCTGGCGGACAGACGGATCCACGATGGCGCCTGCAGCAGAAGGTACTTCTCTGGTCTCTGGTCTCGGGTCTCTCAAGATCCATGGGTCTCTCTTAGTCTCTCTGATCCCTCTAGGTCTCTCTTGGTCCCTCTTGGTCTCTCTGGTTCTTGGTCTCTCTGGTCTCTCTTGGTCTCTCTTGGTCTCTTTGGTCCCTGGTCTCTGGGGTCTCTTTGGTCCCTCTGGTACCTGGTCTCTGGTCTCTGGACTGAACCAGACTGTAAATATTGTACTCTGAGGAGATGATATTATTGTGTGTTTTCCTCTGACAGTTCTGTGGACGATGGATGACATTAACGAGCTTCTTCACGCCATGAGAAAAACTATAGGACGCAAAGAACGAGATAAAACTTGGAACGTGGGTCTGAAGGCTTTGGACTGGCGAGACGTGGCGTTTGGGGATTTCTCCTCTGAAAACTGTCGAGACAAGTGGCAGGAGATCATGCAGAGGGTACGACAACCACACATTAACACTACAACTCTCAGAGCAGTCAGTGTGACGGCTTTTAGTTTGGAAGTGTCATTAGATAGATCTCAGCTCGTAGAAAAAAACAATACTTTGACTTTTCCTATTTTTGCTTTTCAATTATATTTATCGAGACATTCTTCACACACCACCCATTCTTTAAGGCATGCCATGTCATTCTACATTTGGTCCCAGATTTTTTTTCTTCTCGCTTTTATTACCCTAGTGGAATTTGACCGAGGAGTAACTATTGACGGGAAGTGAAAGAGACAAAAAATGACTAAAGTAGATAATAATAAAAATAAAAAAAAAAGAAACAAGAACAAATAACATTGTAAAATACAGATTATCCCTAACCAGACATGTGCCTTTCCATGACATCCATTCATACACCACCTGTTTATATGTATCGTTTTATTTCTACGTCATTATATTCATGAAATGTTATTTTATTTCCACCTTTATCTCCATTTATTAATTTAATGTTTAATTTTTATTTTAGGTCGCTTGGCAACCAACATTCTATGGCAGTTAAAACCTTTTCTCCAAAGTGCTGGTCCTGGATCAGTTTTGTTATCCACCAGAGGGCTAGTTACCATAGCAACACATTGTTTATTTGTAGCATTAGCATTGTTGAAAGGCATCTAGCCTTTCACCAAACTGTATTTCATGTTATTGTAGCACATTTCAGCACATGTTGAAAGTGAAAAGGTAAAAATCTTAGAAATGTCTTACTTTTAATAAAACCAATAGAAAACTAAACATTTTTGGGAAATTTCTCTTGTTGATCTGAATGGGAGCAGGCTGTTGGAGTTCTGGTAGTTTCATAATTGCGGGAGTGCTAATAAAAATGTTTTTGCTTTCCAGCTGCGGAAAATCAAAACCCTCACTGAACTCATCGTGGACGCTCAATTCGCCATCGAGAATTCTCAAATAAAGATAGACCCAAAGGTAGTGTCAGTTATTGCCTGTGTTTTTACAATGATAATGTTTGTAATGTAGTGGTGATTGTTTTATTCACTGATGTGCGTAGATGGAGTTGCCCAAAAAACCAGTTTCTGCAAATGCTTTATATTTTGCGGAGAACAAGAGTCTTTTAAAGGAGCTGAACCCCCACATGAACAGCCGAGAGCTCATGAAGTTTGCTAATGACTGTTACAAAAAGCTGCCGTCTGAGAATAAGGTAGGACTGGGCACATATGCAGATCCTGGCTTTTATGTAGGTATTAATTATTTCTGTGTTTAAGGTGAAATATGTGCAGAAAGTCCAGAAAGCTAAAAGGGAATATCAGGCAAAAATATGTGTTTGGAATGAAGAAAACAAAAGAAAGAGGATGGAACCAGACGAGGAGAGAGACAGTCAGGTGAGTTCTCCCTAATACCACCTTAAACTACACTTTACTGCACTGACTGTCTGTTGTGTGTACGTGGTCTTTGTCTTGAGAGAGACCAGAGAGAGAGAGACCAGAGAGAGACCAGAGAGAGAGAGACCAGAGAGAGAGAGACCAGAGAGAGAGAGACCAGAGAGAGAGAGACCAGAGAGAGAGAGACCAGAGAGAGGGAGACCAGAGAGAGGGAGACCAGAGAGAGGGAGACCAGAGAGAGGGAGACCAGAGAGAGGGAGACCAGAGAGAGGGAGACCAGAGAGAGGGAGACCAGAGAGAGAGAGACCAGAGAGAGAGAGACCAGAGAGAGAGAGACCAGAGAGAGGGAGACCAGAGAGAGGGAGACCAGAGAGAGGGAGACCAGAGAGAGGGAGACCAGAGAGAGAGAGACCAGAGAGAGAGAGACCAGAGAGAGAGAGAATTTTATGCTAAAGTTAGAGATTGTGTTTTATTTTAGCATAGGGTTACTGTTCATTTATCCTCATTCCTACTGTCCTGTCATCGGTGATGCAACACTGACATTTCTCCACTATGGGACGAATAAACAATCTCTTAATCCTAATTAATGCAGGTTCCTTTTACTCCTTTTACCTTGAGCCAAAGTCAGTTGCTAATTTGTGACTTCCTGTTACTTACAATAAAAAATGTCAATACAAAAATAATTCTGAAATAGTCCCTAATCTATTTTATCTACTTTTATTAACCGTTCAACATGAAGAGAAGCAACATCAGCGAGAAGCAGCAGCAGGAGGAGCCCGTCAAACACCCTCTGTAAGTAATTATCTGATACTAATGATAATATCTGTTTGTTGCTAATGTAATACTTCAGACATGTTGGTATTTATTGGGTAGGAATGGCTATAACCTCTTCTGCCGTGATCAGAAGGCTCTTTTGTCTGGGGTACCTCAGAGAGAGATTCCGTCTGTCTGGTCTCAACGATGGAAAGAGTTGTCCCCAGAAGAGAAGAAGAAATATAGTGTGCGCTGTTTAGAGGTGTGAAGGAGAAGACCGTATTTGTGGATTACTATTACATTTATTATTATTACTATTACTTTATTCTAGTAACTATTGAACTGTTTCTGTGTAGACGAAGCCCAAGGCCCAACGAAGTATGACTAATACTGGCACAAAGGTGAGTACGATATTTAAAAACATCTTAGATCAGATCGGAAAGAGCCGAGAGAGAGACCAGTGAGAGGAAACCAGAAACATAGCAAAACTTATTTACACACATACAGCATATATATTTCAATACGTACATTTAAATGCATTTTCCCGACATTTTGGTGTGTACCGCAAAGAATTATGGGCAATATCCTTCGCCAGAGTCCGCATAGATGCAGGCTACGGTGAAGTGTGGATCAGGGGCGCAAAGGGGGCGGGGCCAAAGATTGGGACACCCTACGCACTCGCACCCATCATCGGGAACGTGCAAATGAGGGGCGCGAGGGTGCAAGTGCGAGTATTGGGACCAGAGAGAGACCAGACCAGAGAGAGACCAGACCAGAGAGAGACCAGACCAGAGAGAGACCAGCCCAGAGAGAGACCAGCCCAGAGAGAGACCAGCCCAGAGAGAGACCAGACCAGAGAGAGACCAGCCCAGAGAGAGACCAGACCAGAGAGAGACCAGACCAGAGAGAGACCAGCCCAGAGAGAGACCAGCCCAGAGAGAGACCAGCCCAGAGAGAGACCAGCCCAGAGAGAGACCAGCCCAGAGAGAGACCAGCCCAGAGAGAGACCAGCCCAGAGAGAGACCAGCCCAGAGAGAGACCAGCCCAGAGAGAGACCAGCCCAGAGAGAGACCAGCCCAGAGAGAGACCAGCCCAGAGAGAGACCAGCCCAGAGAGAGACCAGCCCAGAGAGAGACCAGCCCAGAGAGAGACCAGCCCAGAGAGAGACCAGCCCAGAGAGAGACCAGCCCAGAGAGAGACCAGCCCAGAGAGAGACCAGACCAGAGAGAGACCAGACCAGAGAGAGACCAGACCAGAGAGAGACCAGACCAGAGAGAGACCAGACCAGAGAGAGACCAGACCAGAGAGAGACCAGACCAGAGAGAGACCAGACCAGAGAGAGACCAGACCAGAGAGAGACCAGACCAGAGAGAGACCAGACCAGAGGGAGACCAGACCAGAGGGAGACCAGACCAGAGGGAGACCAGACCAGAGGGAGACCAGACCAGAGGGAGACCAGACCAGAGGGAGACCAGACCAGAGGGAGACCAGACCAGAGGGAGACCAGACCAGAGGGAGACCAGACCAGAGGGAGACCAGACCAGAGGGAGACCAGACCAGAGGGAGACCAGACCAGAGGGAGACCAGACCAGAGACGGTCTGCTCTTACCTTTTACTCTCATGTGTTTCATATCTGTTTATTTTCAGGAATCTGGTGAGCCCGAAATGCCAAAAAGGTAATTCTTCAAAGGCTTAAAAACATGAGTGATGCCTTTTGTTCGTCCCACAGTGAGAGAGTTTTATATTTGTATTTCCCTGTTTAGATCCAAGCATCGCTCTGTACGAGATCGAGACTTCGGTGCGTACAGTGAACAGCTCCAGATTTGGTTCGAGGTAAAAAACAAAAACAATTCTGAGTTCTTTCTGCCCTTGAATGTTATTAACGTCTCATTTTTTTGTTTCCTCCTGTAGACGTTGACTTCTGTTCAAAAGCAGGAATACTGTGAACAAAACCCAAGTGTAAGAGCTGATTTACAGAACGGCAATAACAAGTCACATTTGGTTTGACTTTTCTCTGTTTGACGCTTTATCCACAGAAAAGTAAATACCTGAAAATGACAAAATCGAGACGAAAAGTTCATCAAACATCAGTAAGTGGATTCAGCGAACCTCGAGTCTGTTCTGCTCAAATGTGTCTCACTTCAAACCACTTAAAAACTATTTAGACTGAGATATACTTTATTGACCCCTGTAGGAGATTTGCAGGTCACACATCCATTCAAACAAACAAAACAAATAAATACATCTTTTCAAAGGCAAAAAATGTAAATAATAATAATAATGCTTCGGTTTTTATACTGCGGTTTTTTGGACACTCAAACCACTTTACATGTCATTATTCATACATAAAGAAGCTAGTACGGCTTAATTACCTGACATGATTTTGCGATGAACTCCCGCCTTCGCCAGAGGGTTTTACATTATTTGTCTCAATAAAAGAAAAGCTTTAAAAATATAACTTTTTAACATTAAAATAATACATCATTCATTCAGCAGTGAAAGTGCAGACGATGGAAACACATTGATGGAAGGAGAGGATCCGCTTGGGCCTTAAAAAACTTTTAAGTAGATTTCTAAATATGTCTCATTCAGTGGTCACCGTGACGATTTGTTTTGGGTTCTGATTTATACAGTCTTAGCGACACGGGTTTCAACATGGTATGGTGTGATTTTTATTTTTGCAGATAGTGCACAATAAACATTAGCCAAGTGGAGAGATGGGGCGGCACGGTGGCTCTCAGCAAGAAGGTCCTGGGTTCAAATCCCGGTCGGACCAGGGCCTTTCTGTGTGGAGTTTGCATGTTTTCCCCGTGTCTGCGTAGGTTTCCTCCGGGTACTCCGGTTTCCCCTACCACTAAAAACTTGTACAATAGGTCTGTGCATGCGCCTCCTGTACTGGCCCCGCTCCCATCTCTGTGTGGAGTGAGAGACAAATGCCCAAAAATAACAATTGTAAACCGCTTTGAGACTTTGATCTGTGAAAGGCGGTATATAAATAAAGATTACTTAATTACTTTGATGCATTGTACCAGGTTGTTAGCAGCACTGCTAATTTTCACCTGTAGTCCCTCCTGTAGTCCCTAAACATGAGTGTGTTTAGGGACTGAGGTAAAGGTCAGATAAAAAAAAAATCACAAGATAATGATGTTCCTCATTTTTTATAACAAAAATATAGTGTTATGTTAGGGGTGTTCAAAAATACAGATTGCGCCATATATCAAAATATATATAATCCATAAATTCTCATTAATTCAAAATGTTAAAATAGATTTTTTAAAATGTTTTAATATATTTTGTATTTACTTTTATTTTGAGCCAACATGGTGAATATGGTCTTGTCGTGCCGTAGACTGAGACACGAGAGAAACCGGGGTTAGTTAATTTTACACTTTATTCCAAGCTGCCGTAAAGTATTAGCTCTTAAAGTTATATTTGATTCAAACATGTAAAATCTATATAACTCGTTCTGTGAACTATACTAAAGCTGACCTTCTTTACTCAGTGTGTTATAGTTGGGTCATGGTTCTCCAGGTGAGCATCCAATCAGAAAGCAGAATGAGCCTCACATGAGTCTCTGGGTCATGTCCGCTCTTTGCAAATAAAGACGCCACATATTCTTGAGTTTATGTTTTTTAATACAATAGAAGTGTGTGGATCCAGAGCAGGTCCAGAATGTATGAATGAAAAATGACATCTTGAGCACTACACTTTAGAGAAAAGAAAGTGCAAAGTGCAAAGCTGAGAATCCATAAGGACAGAAGTGACTCTGACTCTGACACGTCTGACTTTGAACAGGATTCAGAAGACGAAGATTTGGAGAAGAGCGACTGCAGCGACTCTGACGACATCTTGGAGGTTTGTTTACGTCTCACTGCAGAACGACACGAGATCAAAGCATCAATAATCTTTGTCTTTTCCAGGTGATAATTGGAGACGGTGAAGAGGAAGAGACCATGTTTGATCTGTTTTGAGAGACGATCAGCAGAAAGAAGCCGAGGCCCATTCAACGACGGACAAAGACTTTGTGCATTAAGCCTGTGTTAAAGAGAAAGATGGATATACAAAATATGTTTTAAGTGAAGTGAATATCGTCTGCAGTGATGATTATTATCTGTGTGATACTGTTGTGATGTTGACATCAGAGAATGTGCAGAACTGCAGCCTTTGATCTCATTGATGCAGAATGAAATTGATGCAGAATGAAACTGACTCCAGATTTCCAGAAGTAATTATGTGCTATAATTATCTGTTATTGTAATGTATACTACATGCATATCATCTGTGTTTAAAACAAAAATTTATCAATGTCAGAAAATACCACAAATGTTGTTCCAGGCGTGAGTTGTGTGGATGATAATCATTGTTTAATATTTGCATATTTGGGATGAGCCCTCACCTTCTCCACCAAAGGTTCTGAGCGGAGAGTCTAAAACAAAAGTCTGTCCCTGTGATCGTGGGCGGCTCAGCCTCATGTATCGATTATTAAAATATGACACTTTTTATCATTTGTTTTATTAAAATGATTGAATAGAAAGTGATGTGTGTGGTTCATGAGCTGAGTTAAAGAAGGTTTTATAATCTGGATTTATGTGCTCTGCAGTCCTCGGTGTTATGTAGTAACTCAGAGTGGGTTCTAATGTGATGTCACATGTTGCTGGAGTTCGCTCTCTGCGGTAGAGGAAGACTGATCATCGATTACTACTGTCTGCGCGCGGATGTAAAGATGGACGCCCGTCGGAATGGGTAAATAAACACTTAGGAGGTTTGCAGGCTGTGCTTGTGCTTCTCAACAGAGGAACACGTCAGAGTCAGACACATGTAGTTTAGTCAAAATAGTTCTTTTGAGAGAGCCTGGTTCTACAGCCGCAGTGCAGCAGCAGGAGCAGCAGCAGGAGCAGCAGCAGAGCCTCCTTCAGAGCCTCCAGCAGAGCTCCGCGTCTTCAAAGTCTCTGCTACAAATGTGTCTGTGCCGCGGCCAGCGCCGGTGAGTGTGTCCGGGCCACACGGACCGTCAGGACCGTGAGGACCGTCAGGACCGTGTTTAAAGCGTGAGCCGCGTCCAGACGCAGCGAGCCTCCGTCTGCCGCCTGTTCACAGCAGCTCTTTGTTTTCCAAGGGTTCGGCTAAGCTACTCTGAAGTCCCCGCTGTGTGATCCGTGCCTTTGTGTGTCTTGTGTGTCTCATGTCTCACTTCTACATACAGCCCATGACCGCGTCCCTGTGTGCAGCTCCAGCCTCTGAGAGACGTGTAGGACCTGATCTCTGCTCCTCTCGGCGTCTTGTAAGAGCCGCATCCACCATCGCTCTCACCGGGAGCTGTGTCCTGTGGATCATTCTGCTGCAGACCTGTTCTGACCGATGCGTGCTACAGCATGACCACAGCAGCCTCGCCTCATCTGCTACTTCTGTCAAATGAAAATGGAGGAGGTTTCGATGTCCAGCCTGGACACCAGCAAGCTGGAGGTGAGGGACCATGGTTGACCATGGGGGAACTGATTATTCAGGCACAATCCAGAGCTATAGTGATGTTGTGTGTGCAGGGCCTGGCCCAGGACATCCTGTCTGACCTGGTGGAGGATGCCTGTCTGGGGCTGTGCTTTGAGGTCCACAGAGCTGTCAAACAGGGCTATTTCTTCCTGGATGACACTGACCAAGAGAGCATGCGAGACTTTGGTATGAATTGAACTGATCTGAATCATGCATTCGCAGTTGTAACTTGCACTAAATACTGGTATTGTTTGTAGAAATTGTGGACCAGCCAGGACTGGACGTGTTTGGCCAAGTGTTCAATCAATGGAAAAACAAAGAGTGTGTTTGTCCCAACTGTAATCGGAGCATCGCGGCCTCGAGATTTGCTCCTCACTTAGAGAAATGTCTGGGGATGGGACGCAACAGCAGCCGTATCGCCAATCGCAGGTAACCCTTATCATCATTCACTAAAGTGGGGCATCAGACTCCCAGTGGGGCAGTGGTGGCTGTGAGGCATTCACTGACGGGCTCTTGTTGCTGTACTTGGTGTTTGATGTGTGTGATGTCTGCTCTGTCTGGTCCAGTCCGGCTTTAGTCTTGTGTTGGACTCTGCAGTTTACTAGACAACAGTAACGTATTGCAACGAGTGGTATTTGAAAGCATCACGGCTGTATCAAACCACCTGACTTTACCACTTTTAGACTTGATTTAGTATTTTTGATATTGATATTATCATTACATTTTAGAATTGTCACTGGTAACACCACTACTACTACCACTACCACCACCACCACCACCAATAACAACACCAACAACAAGTCTGAGAGCGACCAAGAGGATAACGACGACGTCAATGACAACGACTGGTCTTACGGAGCAGAAAAGAAAGGTGAGGTGAACAACAGATACGTGTGCAGAAGCCACTGAGGTTACTTCCTGTAATCTAACTCTGATCTCTGCTCTTCACAGCCAAGAAAAGAAAATCTGAGAAGGTAATTAACATTTAAAGATTAAGATTAGGAGATCCTTTGTTTGTACCACAGTGGGGAAATGTCAGTGTTGCATCACCAGTCACAGAACAGTAAGAATGAAGAGCTCACAGCAGAAGATTAATGAACTCTATACTCAAATAAAATCTTGAAGAAAGTACTGAGAGACTGAGAGCTTACACAAACTTGAAGAAAGTATGTATAAAATCTCCAGCTTTATCCATAGTGTCCTTTTTAATGCACCACTTTAGACACACACATAGGAGCAATGAGGGTGAGTGGTGGATGCATCAAAATGCTAAAATACTGTAACACTTGCACCCATACACACACACACACACTCACACGCACACATACTGCACACACTCTCACACGCACACACACTGCACACTCTCACACGCACACACTGTATCTTGTCTGCCTTATTGTATCTGTATTTTGTACGCCTGCACTTGTATTGTGTAACTACACAAGTTGACAGCCAAAAAATGGTCAGGGGTTTCTCAACTGATTTAGACTAATGTTGGTGTTCTGAGTCCGAATATCACATTTTTGCTCTATCAGGTCAACTTTTTGAGATACAGCCATAGTGTTACGGATTATGTACGTCTACGTTATTATGAATTCTGCTTATCAAATTTGATGGAGTAAATAAAAACTGAATGACTTTGGATACGTTGACTTTTATTTCTTGAGGAAAACGAAAAAAACGTCAAGGGTTTCTCAGTTGATGATCTGCAGAAATTAGTTTTTTACGCAAAATCGATTTAAAAAAATATTTCTATAGCAAAAAATCCTGACCTGATTGAGCAAAACCAAGGTCATTTTCGGACTCAGAGCATCAAAATTAATTATTAATTCAGCTGGAAAACCCTGGACTATTTTCAAAAAAAATCTCTAGTTTCAGCGTAATAAAGAAGCAAGTATACAATCTCTAGCTTTAGCATAATAAATAAGTATGAACTACTATAATTTCTAGTGCGAGAAATCTATAGTGAATGTAAACAACTCCAATATGCTATTTGACATTGAACTATTCATGGCTTCAGTCAGCTCTTGATTTTGTCTTTTTATTTTCAGAATCCGAACTCTCCGAGAAGATCTAAGTCTTTCAAGCATAAGAGCAGTACGTTGAGAAGTACTTTTTTGCTCTTTGTGAAGTAAATGTTGTTGTGTTTCTCTGGCTCACACATGTGTGATCGCAGGTCTGATGGGCCCTCGGCGTCGGATGGAGAATCAGGAAAGCCCGTGCATGCTGATGAAAGAGGAGGCATTCCCACAATAACCTCACAAACGAAACGCACACAGGAGACTGTAACACTTCTGCCTTTTTAGTTTTTAAATGCAAGGACATTTGAGTTAAGGATGGACTTCTTACGGATGAACGAACACAATACTTGACAGATCTCACTATTTGTTTTGTTCTGAAATGATTTGCTGGAGTCCAAAGTAATGAATATTTCTACTACATGCTTTTTTACTGCAAATACTTGTCTGTCCAGTGGCCAAGCAGAACGTAACTAATGTTGCTGCAACATTATGGGTATAAGATATAAGCATCATGATTGGTGCTACTGTTGTGTTCGATTACAAACAAAATAATGTGTCACGTTATTGGACAATCATGAGAAAGATTGTCATTCATTTTGTGGGTTTTTGCTCTGCTTCTGTGAAACCTGGGGACTCTTGAGACGAGCAGGAGACAAACACTCTGGCATTCTCATGTGTTTACATTGTAAAGGCTTATTTAGGCTTTATCATGGTGTGATGTGTATATATTCCAATAGTCAAAATGCTGCTATCATGACTGAGTGTATTTCATCTGTTTAGCGTATTAAATGATTTATCAGTCAAAAAGTCTGGGTCTGATCAATGTTCTCAAAATATTCAACTGTTTATTTCGATTAGTGCAAGACATGTTGTATGTGTATCTGCTACAAATATGAAATATATACATATTTTATATTTCTTGTACAAGAATATACAGTATTTTAAGCTTGCTTCTTTGCTATGCTAAAGTTACAGATTTTAGTTATGTTTTTCTTATCTTGCGTTATGTGATCCTCCTTCCTACTGTTGTGGGACGAATGAATAATCTCTTAAAATTACTAACGTGACCACAAGAGGGCGGTGTTGTCATATCCCCTGTACAGTCAACGGTCTGTGCACATAATGCTTTATAAAACTGCTACTTCCATTGTAAAAGTGTATTATTATTTAGAGCACTGTTTAAGTCAAAGTACCCTTCTTTAAAAGGGGGAGGTAGGTTACAAAAACAGAAATCTCCGTTTTGAAAATGTTTCTCTAACCACGATCTTCAACATGTTTTGTTATTGGCCGTACCTTTGTTTCCCTACATTTTATACCTCATTTGTTTATTACTAGCATTTTTATTATAAAATATTTGTTTTAATTATTACTATTATCATCATAATGTTTTATTCATTTTTGTAATTATTATCTATTTCTTTGTATGCAATCTTTTCCTTTGTTTTTTTTTTTTTTTTTCACAAAACTACTGAAAGATTGTAAACCTTTCAAATATTTTTTCTGATGGTTTTTATCTGGTAGATCTGTAAAAGGAAACTTTAAATGCATATCAGCTAAACACTTTGGGCTATCTACGTTCGTACTTGCAGTGTAAACCCAATCCATGTGTAAAACCTGTGTCTGCGGTGTTTGTTGTTGATTATAAAACTTTAAAAGCTGCAGTTGTGTGGATGTGGACGTGCGGAGGAGGCGTCTCTAACCCGGACATGAGCAGCCCACTCTGGCCCCGGGGCCTGAGCCTGTGACAGCGGGCGGACAGGGCAGACACAGCGGCTGCACAGACCTGCTCTCTCCGTGTTCCTCTCGCCTGCTCAAGCTAAAGTTACAGTTACTTTTCCCCCTTGGGCCCCACGTGTGGAGGTCCGGAGTATGGCATCCAGAGTCGGCTTCTCGGGTCCCCACATGAGCGTGCTGAGCGATGCGGGGGCCAGAGGGTCCCAGCCCCCGGGAGCTTACCCACGGAGCTCCCACTACCTCCAGGTGTGTCCGCCGTGTCCTGCTCCTGCGTCTTATTACTATGTTATACAATATTTACAGTCTGAGGGTTTTACGGGCTGCAAGAGTTATATGGTGTTACTTCCGCGTTCAAGTTCCGATTCTCCATTTCTTTCTATTTAATGTTTTACTTTGTTTTGTCTTCGGTGAACAACTCCTATGATAGTGCGGAAGGCAGTCATGTGGAAGTTCACGTTTCTGAAAACAAAAGTTTATTTTCTAAGATCGTGTCATCTGTCAGCGCGAAGCACGCATCCTCCCTCTGTAGACTCATCCTGTTCTTAGTATTATACTCTTATTCTCTTCAGTCTGAGACGTAAAGACTGAAGAGTATGAGCCTGGGCTGAATTCAATAACACCTCGTTCATAGTCATCACAATCCCCACAAACTCACTAGTAATAAAGTTTACTTGTTTATTTTGTTTATTTTGACACAGTTGACATACCGTAGTTTAGTGATAATGAAATACCCCTGTGTAGTATTAATGTGTAGTGTATGTAGTATAATGTGTAGTGTAGTGTTAATGAAATACCCCTGTGTAGTATTAATGTGTAGTGTCTGTAGTATAATGTGTAGTGTAGTATTAATGAAATACCCCTGTGTAGTATTGTTGACATACTTTTCTGAATAACCTTGTTTTTCATATTTTTCTCAGCGGCCAGGAATGCCTCAAAGTAGAGTGGGGGGCCCCTTAGGAGGTCCACTCCCAGGTCCTTCTTATGGTGTTGGGAACATGGCCATGCGGCCCGGCATGGGGCCCCCACCTTCAGACCCCTCAAGGAAACGCTTTCTCCATCTTCAGCAGCACCAGGATTCTGCAGGAGGCTCGCAGCGCGCAGGGTACGCTCTGAGAACATTACATTAAATACATATTATTTTTAATTATAAAGTATCTTCCATTGTGGTAATGACTCTATTATTACATCGACATGATTATTCTGACATGAAAACACATCATGAACTGGATCTTTGTAACACCCAAAAACAAAATACAAAGACATTCTTGGTTTGGTTTTGTCCTCAGTCCTTTTCATGCTCATGACTGTGCCTCAGTGCTCCCTCAGTGCTCTCTCAGTGCTTCCTCAGTGCTCTCTCAGTGCTCTCTCTGTGCTCTCTCTGTGCTCTCTCTGTGCTCTCTCTGTGCTCTCTCTGTGCTCTCCCAGTGCTCTCTCTCAGTGCTCTCTCTGTGCTCTCTCAGTGCTCTCTCAGTGCTCTCTCAGTGCTCTCTGTGTTCTCTCAGTGCTCCCTCAGTGCTCTCTCAGTGCTCTCTCAGCTCTCTCGCAGTGCTCTCTCTCTGTGCTCTCTCAGTGCTCTCCCAGTGCTCTCCCAGTGCTCTCTCTCAGTGCTCTCTCTCAGTGCTCTCTCAGTGCTCTCTCAGCTCTCTCTCAGTGCTCTCGCTCAGTGCTCTCTCTCAGTGCTCTCTCTCAGTGCTCTCTCAGTGCTTCCTCAGTGCTCTCTCAGTGCTCTCTCAGTGCTCTCTCTCAGTGCTCTCTCTCAGTGCTCTCTCTCAGTGCTCTCTCAGTGCTTCCTCAGTGCTCTCTCAGTGCTCTCTCAGTGCTCTCCCAGTGCTCTCCCAGTGCTCTCTCTCAGTGCTCCCTCAGTGCTCTCTCAGCTCTCTCTCAGTGCTCTCTCTCAGTGCTCTCTCTCAGTGCTCTCTCAGTGCTTCCTCAGTGCTCTCTCAGCTCTCTCAGTGCTCTCTCTCTGTGCTCTCTCTCAGTGCTCTCTCTCAGTGCTCCCTCAGTGCTCTCTCAGCTCTCTCTCTGTGCTCTCTCAGTGCTCTCTCAGTGCTCTCTCAGTGTTCTCTCAGTGCTCCCTCAGTGCTCTCTCAGTGCTCTCTCAGCTCTCTCTCAGTGCTCTCTCTCAGTGCTCTCTCAGTGCTCTCCCAGTGCTCTCCCAGTGCTCTCTCTCAGTGCTCTCTCTCAGTGCTCTCTCAGTGCTCTCTCAGCTCTCTCTCAGTGCTCGCTCTCAGTGCTCTCTCTCAGTGCTCTCTCAGTGCTTCCTCAGTGCTCTCTCAGTGCTCTCTCAGTGCTCTCTCTCAGTGCTCTCTCAGTGCTTCCTCAGTGCTCTCTCAGTGCTCTCTCAGTGCTCTCCCAGTGCTCTCCCAGTGCTCTCTCTCAGTGCTCCCTCAGTGCTCTCTCAGCTCTCTCTCAGTGCTCTCTCTCAGTGCTCTCTCTCAGTGCTCTCTCAGTGCTTCCTCAGTGCTCTCTCAGCTCTCTCAGTGCTCTCTCTCAGTGCTCTCTCTCAGTGCTCTCTCAGTGCTTCCTCAGTGCTCTCCCAGTGCTCTCCCAGTGCTCTCTCTCAGTGCTCCCTCAGTGCTCTCTCAGCTCTCTCTCAGTGCTCTCTCTCAGTGCTCTCTCTCAGTGCTCTCTCTCAGTGCTCTCTCTCAGTGCTCCCTCAGTGCTCCCTCAGTGCTCTCTCAGTGCTCTCTCTCAGTGCTCTCTCTCAGTGCTCTCTCTCAGTGCTCTCTCAGTGCTCTCTCAGTGCTCTCTCAGTGCTCTCCCAGTGCTCTCTCTCAGTGCTCTCTCTCAGTGCTCTCCCAGTGCTCTCCCAGTGCTCTCCCAGTGCTCTCTCAGTGCTCCCTCAGTGCTCTCTCCCAGTGCTCTCCCAGTGCTCTCTCAGTGCTCCCTCAGTGCTCTCTCCCAGTGCTCTCTCAGTGCTCCCTCAGTGCTCTCTCTCAGTGCTCCTTCAGTGCTCTCTCAGCTCTCTCTCAGTGCTCTCTCTCAGTGCTCTCTCCCAGTGCGCTCTCTCAGTGCTCCCTCAGTGCTCTCTCTCAGTGCTCTCTCAGTGCTCTCTCTCAGTGCTCTCTCAGTGCTCTCCCAGTGCTCTCTCCCAGTGCTCTCTCAGTGCTCTCTCCCAGTGCTCTCCCAGTGCTCTCTCTCAGTGCTCTCTCTCAGTGCTCTCTCTCAGTGCTCTCTCTCAGTGCTTCCTCAGTGCTCCCTCAGTGCTCTCTCAGTGCTCTCTCTCAGTGCGCTCTCTCAGTGCTCTCTCAGTGCTCTCTCAGTGCTCTCCCAGTGCTCTCCCAGTGCTCTCTCTCAGTGCTCCCTCAGTGCTCTCTCAGCTCTCTCTCAGTGCTCTCTCTCAGTGCTCTCTCTCAGTGCTCTCTCAGTGCTCTCTCTCAGTGCTCTCTCTCAGTGCTCTCCCAGTGCTCTCTCAGTGCTCCCTCAGTGCTCTCTCCCAGTGCTCTCCCAGTGCTCTCTCAGTGCTCCCTCAGTGCTCTCTCCCAGTGCTCTCTCAGTGCTCCCTCAGTGCTCTCGATCAGTGCTCCTTCAGTGCTCTCTCAGCTCTCTCTCAGTGCTCTCTCCCAGTGCGCTCTCTCAGTGCTCCCTCAGTGCTCTCTCTCAGTGCTCTCTCAGTGCTCTCCCAGTGCTCTCTCTCAGTGCTCTCTCAGTGCTCTCCCAGTGCTCTCTCCCAGTGCTCTCTCAGTGCTCTCTCCCAGTGCTCTCCCAGTGCTCTCTCTCAGTGCTCTCTCAGTGCTCTCCCAGTGCTCTCTCTCAGTGCTCCCTCAGTGCTCTCTCTCAGTGCTCCCTCAGTGCTCTCTCTCAGTGCTCTCTCTCAGTGCTCTCTCTCAGTGCTCTCTCAGTGCTTCCTCAGTGCTCTCTCAGCTCTCTCAGTGCTCTCTCTCTGTGCTCTCTCTCAGTGCTCTCTCTCAGTGCTCCCTCAGTGCTCTCTCAGCTCTCTCTCTGTGCTCTCTCAGGGCTCTCTCAGTGCTCTCTCAGTGTTCTCTCAGTGCTCCCTCAGTGCTCTCTCAGTGCTCTCTCAGCTCTCTCTCAGTGCTCTCTCAGTGCTCTCCCAGTGCTCTCCCAGTGCTCTCTCTCAGTGCTCTCTCTCAGTGCTCTCTCAGTGCTCTCTCAGCTCTCTCTCAGTGCTCGCTCTCAGTGCTCTCTCTCAGTGCTCTCTCAGTGCTTCCTCAGTGCTCTCTCAGTGCTCTCTCAGTGCTCTCTCTCAGTGCTCTCTCTCAGTGCTCTCTCAGTGCTTCCTCAGTGCTCTCTCAGTGCTCTCTCAGTGCTCTCCCAGTGCTCTCCCAGTGCTCTCTCTCAGTGCTCCCTCAGTGCTCTCTCAGCTCTCTCTCAGTGCTCTCTCTCAGTGCTCTCTCTCAGTGCTCTCTCTCAGTGCTCTCTCAGTGCTTCCTCAGTGCTCTCTCAGCTCTCTCAGTGCTCTCTCTCAGTGCTCTCTCAGTGCTTCCTCAGTGCTCTCCCAGTGCTCTCCCAGTGCTCTCTCTCAGTGCTCCCTCAGTGCTCTCTCAGCTCTCTCTCAGTGCTCTCTCTCAGTGCTCTCTCTCAGTGCTCTCTCTCAGTGCTCCCTCAGTGCTCCCTCAGTGCTCTCTCAGTGCTCTCTCTCAGTGCTCTCTCTCAGTGCTCTCTCTCAGTGCTCTCTCTCAGTGCTCTCTCAGTGCTCTCTCAGTGCTCTCTCAGTGCTCTCCCAGTGCTCTCTCTCAGTGCTCCCTCAGTGCTCTCTCAGTGCTCTCTCTCAGTGCTCTCTCTCAGTGCTCTCTCTCAGTGCTCTCTCAGTGCTCTCTCTCAGTGCTCTCTCTCAGTGCTCTCCCAGTGCTCTCCAGTGCTCTCCCAGTGCTCTCCCAGTGCTCTCTCAGTGCTCCCTCAGTGCTCTCTCCCAGTGCTCTCCCAGTGCTCTCTCAGTGCTCCCTCAGTGCTCTCTCCCAGTGCTCTCTCAGTGCTCCCTCAGTGCTCTCTCTCAGTGCTCCTTCAGCTCTCTCTCAGTGCTCTCTCTCAGTGCTCTCTCTCAGTGCTCTCTCCCAGTGCGCTCTCTCAGTGCTCCCTCAGTGCTCTCTCTCAGTGCTCTCTCAGTGCTCTCCCAGTGCTCTCTCTCAGTGCTCTCTCTCAGTGCTCTCTCAGTGCTCTCCCAGTGCTCTCTCCCAGTGCTCTCTCAGTGCTCTCTCCCAGTGCTCTCCCAGTGCTCTCTCTCAGTGCTCTCTCTCAGTGCTCTCTCTCAGTGCTCTCTCTCAGTGCTCCCTCAGTGCTCCCTCAGTGCTCTCTCAGTGCTCTCTCTCAGTGCTCTCTCTCAGTGCTCTCTCAGTGCTCTCTCAGTGCTCTCCCAGTGCTCTCCCAGTGCTCTCTCTCAGTGCTCCCTCAGTGCTCTCTCAGCTCTCTCTCAGTGCTCTTTCTCAGTGCTCTCTCTCAGTGCTCTCTCAGTGCTCTCTCTCAGTGCTCTCCCAGTGCTCTCTCAGTGCTCCCTCAGTGCTCTCTCCCAGTGCTCTCCCAGTGCTCTCTCAGTGCTCCCTCAGTGCTCTCTCCCAGTGCTCTCTCAGTGCTCCCTCAGTGCTCTCTCTCAGTGCTCCTTCAGTGCTCTCTCAGCTCTCTCTCAGTGCTCTCTCCCAGTGCGCTCTCTCAGTGCTCCCTCAGTGCTCTCTCTCAGTGCTCTCTCAGTGCTCTCCCAGTGCTCTCTCTCGGTGCTCTCTCAGTGCTCTCCCAGTGCTCTCTCCCAGTGCTCTCTCAGTGCTCTCTCCCAGTGCTCTCCCAGTGCTCTCTCTCAGTGCTCTCTCAGTGCTCTCCCAGTGCTCTCTCTCAGTGCTCTCTCTCAGTGCTCCCTCAGTGCTCTCTCTCAGTGCTCCCTCAGTGCTCTCTCTCAGTGCTCTCTCAGTGCTCTCTCTCAGTGCTCTCTCTCAGTGCTCTCTCTCAGTGCTCTCTCTCAGTGCTCTCTCAGTGCTCTCTCTCAGTGCTCCCTCAGTGCTCTCTCTCAGTGCTCCCTCAGTGCTCTCTCTCAGTGCTCCCTCAGTGCTCTCTCTCAGTGCTCTCTCAGTGCTCTCTCTCAGTGCTCTCTCCCAGTGCTCTCTCTCAGTGCTCCCTCAGTGCTCTCTCTCAGTGTTCTCTCAGTGCTCTCCCAGTGCTCTCTCTCAGTGCTTTCTCTCAGTGCTCTCTCTCAGTGCACCTCTGTGACTCAAATGTTACTTTGTTTTCTTACTACGTTCATGAAGCACATTCCGTGATCCCCTGTTTTTCAGAAGGAGTTATTTCAATCACTTGAGAGGAATTTGATTTGGATGTGATTAGAGTAACGTGCCTCATTCACTTTGAGGACACAGTGCCCTCTTCTTTTCAGTCAATTAAACGCAGCTTGAGGCTCTCACTTTAAAGTAATAAAGCGATCGTCTGTGTGTGCATGCCGTTCTAATTATAGGAATCAGGAAACTGTTTCAAATGTAATGGATTAGTTTAGTCTTTATTTGAGAGGGACAGTGCACAACAAAGACAGATTATAACTAAACAGATCATTTCTGCAGTCTCCGGTAATAGATCTCTTAAAATCTAACTCATTTGTTTAAAAGATGTCATGTATTTGTGTGGATTTACAGGAACAAAAGACGTAAGATGGCTGACAAAGTGCTTCCTCAGAGGGTAAGACAGACGGCTGTTCACAATAATCGTTGTCATTTTTCCTCCACTGTTTAATCTGCGATGGTTTTAGATCAGAGACCTGGTCCCTGAGTCCCAGGCTTATATGGATCTGCTGGCCTTTGAGAGGAAACTGGATCAAACCATTGCCCGAAAGCGAATGGAGATCCAAGAGGCCATCAAGAAACCTATCATGGTATGTTGAGTGCTTATGGACAGGTCTTCTTTGACTTTTGGCTTGTATGATTTATTTGAGGATACTAATCATTAAGGATGTTAAATGATGAAACTGTATTCTCAGCAAAAGCGCAAACTCAGGATCTACATTTCAAACACATACACCCCCAGTAAACCCGAGGGTGAGGAGGCTGAGAAGGTGTCCTCGTGGGAGCTCAGAGTGGAAGGGAAACTTCTCGATGAGGTGAGATAACAGTGTCGTCCAATCACAAAGCCTTCTCACCTGACCTTGTGTTATATTGTTATGTATTACACATCCGTATTTAGATTCAGTACTTATTATTAATGTTGGCTCCATTGTCAACTGAAGCAAAATTGGATCATTAGATTTATCAGGACTTGGGATATCTGAAAACCACTTATCCACACGTCTATGAGTCCCTTTGTTCTGAAACTGACAGACACTGTTCATGAGTTTGACTATGGCCTCAAAGCATACAACCAGATGTGTGTTTACAGCTCTGCCTTCTGCTCGCCAAAGGCCTTGCACAAGCGCTGGCCCATGTCTCCTTTTCGAATAAGGAACTGAAACCCCTGGCCGTGGCATACCAAGAGCTGACAGGCCTCCCTCCCTCCCTCCCTCCCTCCCTCTCTCCCTTCCTCACTTGGTCAAATACAGATCTTTTCACAATGTAGCGCTGCTTCTGAGTTTACTCCGTGTTCTTGTGCTTTGGAAACGCCGTCACTGTTGCGTTTTAGAGAAACTTGAAAGAGATTTCTTGCTGTTAGTTGTTCTCCTCCTGCTCTGTTGGTGGATGTGTGTGTGAGAGTGCTGCAGAGAGGGATAGATGTGAGAGGACTGGGGTGGCCCGTATTGTGCAAACTGTCTGAGAGGGTGGGGTGCTGCAGCCGCTGCAGTGAAGCACACCTCCCCCAGTGTGGTCATGGTTAAACAATGCAGTAACTGAAAAAACACACAAGCTGCTTTTGTCTCATTCACACCACTTTACTTCTTAAATGTTACTAATATATTATAAAAAAGAGCCATGATTATTCATCATTATTATTCATATGGCCAGAGGGGCAGATGGCTCATACTGGTTACCTTGCTTCTATCAGTGTGCCCCAGGGCAGCTGTGGCTACAGTAGTTTATCTCCACTGTGTATGAAGTGAATGCTGTTGTGGAGCGTCTGTGTGAGTGTCCACAAAACGCTCTATGAAACTGATGCATTATTATAATGTTATTATCATTATTATGCAGTTTCCTGGTAATGGTTACATTTTCAGAATTACTTAAATCTTTGATCACTGAAGTCATTGTAGAAGTTTACACAGTTGTTTCTAATCCACCTGCACTGAGAGCAGAGTTATTAGAGTTAAATGTTATTTATGAAACTCAGATCAAAGATCTGTAGTTTAGACTAAATAAGATAAGATATGCTTTATTTATCTCACAAAGGAGAAATTTAAATGTCACATTTGGCATGGATAGAAACACTCAGATTGTGCAAAAAGGGAGGAAATGTGCAAACATGTTAAATGCAGGATATATTATGTACAATAAAAAAGTGGCAATTTCAAAGTGGCAATCAGAAATAGTAGTGCAGGTTTTTTTCAGTCATATACAGTGACTTAAAGTGACTTATTGTACAGTCTGACAGCGGTGGGGATAAAGGCCCTGCGGTAGCGTTCATAAAGTACTCAGTTGATCAAAGGTAATAGATTATTCAAAAACTATCATATGCACTGCCGCTCTATATACACTGTATAACGTATAAGAAACTGGATATTTAGAAAAGACTCAGACTCAACTGTTTGGAAACAATACTGATGTTTATAAAATCACCTAAAGATAATGAATTTGACTTAATTCACAATTAAAATTCACCACCGTAAATGTTCAAACAAATTAAAGGTGTAATTCAAACACTAACCTGAGTCCACATCCAAGCATCATCTAAAGACAGAAATATTTAATAATTCTGTGTCTGCAGCTTCAGCCTGGAAAACAGAAGAGGAAGTTCTCATCCTTCTTCAGGAGTCTGGTGATCGAGCTGGAGAAGGAGCTCTACGGCCCCGACAACCACCTGGTGGAGGTACGAGGGTGTTTACTGTTTACATAGAGTCAAGAAGGCTAGAGTCAAGAAGGCTAGAGTCAAGAAGGCTAGAGTCAAGGAGGTTAGAGTCAAGAAGGCTAGAGTCAAGAAGGCTAGAGTCAAGGAGGTTAGAGTCAAGAAGGCTAGAGTCAAGAAGGCTAGAGTCAAGGAGGTTAGAGTCAAGGAGGTTAGAGTCAAGAAGGTTAGAGTCAAGAAGGTTAGAGTCAAGAAGGTTAGAGTCAAGAAGGCTAGAGTCAAGAAGGTTAGAGTCAAGAAGGTTAGAGTCAAGAAGGTTAGAGTCAAGAAGGTTAGAGTCAAGAAGGCTAGAGTCAAGAAGGCTAGAGTCAAGAAGGTTAGAGTCAAGAAGGTTAGAGTCAAGAAGGCTAGAGTCAAGAAGGTTAGAGTCAAGAAGGCTAGAGTCAAGAAGGTTAGAGTCAAGAAGGGTCAAGAAGGCTAGAATTATGAAGATTAGAGTCAAGAAGGTTAGAGTTATGAAGGTTAGAGTCATGAAGGTTCATCACATTCTCTGACAAACACCAGACTTCAGCTGGATTCACTCAGAAACAGACCGTTGTTTCCTTGAATAGAGACGATCAAAGGTTTAATCCAAGCACTTAATCATCAATAAAGAATTAGATCTACTTTGTCTTTAACTCTAGGACTCCCAGACTTCTGAACCTACTTGAACTCCCAGAGCCGTCATTTTGACTGCCCCCATTCGATTGAGAAAAAAAGTGTTTTACCTTCACTCACTTTTAATAAGTGCAAAAAAACTGTGAATATATCTGAAATACAGCAACAAACAGTTGAGCAAGTAAACCATGTGTTGCTATAGTAACCTGCACTCGCTCTGTTCTGGTGGAAAACCAAGGCGCCATTTCACCTTGGAGAAACTGCTTACAAAAAAATAATAGTTTATAAATAAACTACTGAATAAAAAGTCAAAGTTATGAAGACCACAAGACCACAAGACTTTCAAAACTAAAAGCCGTCAAATTGACTGCTGTGGGAGTCCTAGTGTTAACTCGACCCGGTTCAAGACCCGGTTCTGACACTTCTGTTCCAGTGGCACAGGATGCCGACGACTCAGGAGACGGACGGTTTCCAGGTCAAACGTCCCGGTGACGTGAACGTGAAATGCACTCTTCTCCTGATGCTCGACCACCAGGTCTGTCCTCTACACGTCACAGATCAAGGTAAATAAAACAGTTATATTCACCTGAGCGATGTCTTCCAGCCGCCTCAGTACAAACTGGACCCGCGTCTGGCTCGCCTGCTGGGCGTGCACACACAGACCCGCGCCAACATCATGCAGGCGCTCTGGCTCTACATCAAAAACAACAAGCTGCAGGACAGTCACGAGAAGGAGTACATCAACTGCAACCGCTACTTCAGACAGGTATTTCAATCTGGAGAGACTCCAACAGACAAAACATGGTATTATTAGAACTGTTTATTGGTTGGCAAGTTCTCTGACATTAATGACACACATGACTCTGAGGACTACATTTTCAAGATTACATTTATTGTTGCTGTACAGAATGTGGTTAGGATTTGGTGCTTAGACCACTGCACGACTGCAGAAGGGGAAAGAGATGATGAGATTAAATCCCCCGGGGCCTAGACCCTGGTGGTGGCAGTTCAGGAGAAGGATGAAGGAGCTGGAACCAGGAACAAGGCGGGATGGGGAGGGTTGCGGCATGAATTAAGTTGCTGCTGGATTCAGCTTCCTCACGACATGAAGCTTGATGCGGGCACAGTCTGATTGCTGCCAGATGAGGGCAGTGTGGTGCTGAGTGTGATTGACTGATGCTGTTGCCGTTAGCAACAGTGGGAGGACTTCAGTCTGAATTTCCGCTTTAGCTTCATAGCTTCAGGGAACTTTGATTACTTTGATTTTATACTTGCTTCTTTTTACACTAAATCTAGAGATGTTATACTTACTTCTTTAAAACGCTAAAGTTAGACACTTTATTTTAGCATAGTGTTATGGTTCCTTTATCTTGTGCTGTGTGCTCCTCATTCGTGCTGTTCTCTAACTGCTAATGCAAATCTGACATTTCCCCACGCTGGGACAAATAAAGAATCTCTAAAAACATTTGGTCTTTTTTTCTTTTACAGATCTTTGTTTGTTCTCGAATGAGGTTCTCAGAAATCCCCATGAAACTTGCGAGCCTCCTGCAGCACCCAGACCCCATCATCATCAACCACATGATCAGGTATGAATAATGTGCAATCTTGTCTTTCTTATTCAATTCAACAACAATGTATTTTTGTGCAGCCCTAAATCACAACAGTAGTTTTCTCCGTGGACTTTACAAAACCGTCCACACAGATCAGAGAATCAAACAGGTCAAACACAAGAAAGAGCATCAACATCTGGAGATGGGTCCCCGGGCGCTGTTACTACGGCAACCACTGCTCCTGACAGACGCCCTACTGGCATCAGGATGGGTCAAATGGATGAATTGCTCTACAGCGATAGATAAAGTGCTCCTTTACCTAGGACTAGACATGGGGGGGGGGGGGGGCATCATTTCAGGTGTATGCCCCAAATATCTGGAACTTTCTTGCGGATGTTGTGCGGGAGGCCTCATCTCTAGCAGTAGTTTAGTTTAATTAATTATGGACAATGTGGAATGTGCGTTAAAAAGACCAGATTGAGCACCAGCTACTTTCCATCTGTAGTTCTTGACAATACTTCATAACTTTCATATTAAAATACAGTTCAAATAAAAAGCGCAGGTTTCTAAAATACAACATTGTTAAACCCTTCTTTTTAGCTGTGCGTTTGACTGAGTTGTATATAATGAGTTTTAAAACAGTTTTAATTTTGACATTCAGTTGTTTTTTTTAATGCATTGTTGTTGTACCATATATGCTTCACAGCGCTTGTAAATATGTCTTTGTAAAGCACTTTGGGTTGCACTGCATGGACTGTGCTTTATAATTAAGCGTTATTGACGGATGGCTGTTCTGTCCGTCGCATGTGTCACAGTGTGGACCCCACGGACCAGAAGAAGACCTCGTGCTACGACATCGACGTGGAGGTGGACGATCCGCTGAAGAGCCAGATGAACAGTTTCTTGTCCTCCACCACGAACCAGCAGGAGATAGCGGCTCTGGAGATGAAGGTAACATTTGATTGGGCACCAACTTTAACCGACTGAGAAACTCCACATGACTAAAAGATCTGCGTCTTAATTCATTTGTGAAGCAGATCCATGAAACTATCGAGTACATCAACCAGTTAAAGACCGAGAGAGACTTCATGTTGAGCTTCAGCAACGATCCACAGGAGTTCATTCAGGACTGGCTCAAGTCGCAGAGCAGAGATCTCAAGGTGATTCCAACATTATTATTCACTCATTTCCTGAATTTTGAAGCAACTTTGAGTGTCTGTCATGGTGGGGATTTGTTTTACATCAGATCTCAGTAGTTTGATTGTAGTTGTTCTTCCTGTTCTGTTCCCCTGTCTTGATTGTCCACCCCTCATGTGTTTCACCTGTGTCTTTCTCCTCTCTCTGTCTAATTGTACCTGTGCTCCTCTCCCCTTGTTGCTGGTTCATTGTTGTTGCTTGTCTTTGTCCGTCTGTTTTCCTGTTTGCTGAGTTTTGTTTGGATTTTGACTTTTGTTTTTACCGTTTCATCATCTTTGTTATTAAATCATTTTCTTGCATTCCTGCATTTTGAGTCCTCCTCTAAACCATGTGACTGTGTCCAGAAGAAGCTCTATATAAAACTAATGCATTAGTAACGTTATTGTTATTATTGATATTATTGTTTTGTTGTTGCAGCTCATGACAGATGTGACGGGCAATCCTGAGGAAGAGAGAAGGGCAGAGTTTTATCAAGAAGCGTGGGTTCCAGAGGCAGTGGGACGATACGTCTACTCAAAGGTAATCACCAAGTTCTGTCTTTGTTTGTCTATGTTTGTAAACTGTTTGTTGTACTTCATTTTATAGAATACATAATAATAATTATAATAAACCCATAAAAGTCATTATAATAAAAAAATATACTATTAAAAACTACAGTGGCTTCCTGGTGCCTAAAGCTGCGGAGAGGCGAGATGAGTCCAATAAAAGTGTATGACACACTAAATAACTATAGAAAAAAACAGCATATGATTATTTATTAAATGCGGTCACAGGAAAAATGCATGAATTAACGTAAGCCAGAAAAATAGCAAAAAATAAAGCAAACCAATTTAAAATAATAATAAGTAACAAAAATGATGGCTCAAACAGATTTCTACTGTTCCCTGCCCCAGGATTAGGAAATACAGCAAGTAAACACTGTGTTGCTATGGTAACAAGCTCTTTCTTTAAGCTTTCTCTGATCCAGTCTAGGACCAGTCTAGGACCAGTCTAGGACCAGTCTAGGACCAGACCAGGACCAGTCAAGGACCAGTCTAGGACCTGTCTAGGACCAGACCGAGACCAGTCAAGGACCAGACCATGACCAGTGTCGGACCGTTGAATGGACTGGTCTGGGAGTTGTCTGATGTCTTCCTGTTGTGTCTTCAGGTGCAGCAGCGGCGTCAGGAGCTGGAGCAGGTGCTGGGAATCCGCCTGACCTAAACACACGATGACCATCTTTCACTTGTTACATAAAAACTGCACAAGGAGCAGATATTTTGCGGGTCAGGAGTCTTAAAGCCATCTGTGTAGATTTGATAAACTGGTAAGAACTGGTGCTATGTTTGTTCTTGGACCAAAGTTGATGTTTTTACTGTCAACACACATTATTCTTTCTTGTTTTAAACATCGTAACAGTTCATGTTAAAAATACAAGTTACATCCATGAGCCATAAGCATTGTCGCTGTTTGATAATTTGTTTTTGAATGATTTATTGACTTTTAAGATAATATAACGTTTTTTTTTGTTTTGCATTGAAATAATCTATGGCCATAATCTATGAAAGAGGAGTTTAAGCCATGGGTTAATCGGGTTATTGTTGGGGTAATAATATTAGCTTGTAAAACATTCCAAATTGACGCCATGGTTGTTTATCTCCATGTCTTGCATTTTTTTTGTATTGACAATCAAAGATATATTTTATACAGGTGGATAAAAACACAATAAAAGTATTTACAACGATCCTCTGTGGAGTCTGGTGTACTGTGTTAGACGCGATCGTCCTGGAGTTGGTTTGTTCCGTGTGTGGCTCTGCGTGTTTGGACTGGTCTGAGATCCTGCTGTAACCGCTGCGCTGCAACAGGTCTATCAGGTCTCAGCGGAGAATGGGGCTTCACTGCTGCTCAAATAACAACAGCAGAAACCCAAGGTGAACTTACAGCGGTATTCAATGTGGAACGTGCTGAGACTGAGAGATTTGTGCTGAAATACTATGTGTGTCAATATGTCAGCGTTTACATATGAAAGGTCTCAGTGTATACAATTTGTCCTTGTTGTTATTTTTAATTCTAACTCAGGTGGTTTTCTAAAATGATTTGAACAGTTAAACGAAAGATACCCCAGGGAAAGCGCAATATACAATACAACACAATTTACAATACACAATACAATACAATACAATTTATTCTTGTATAGCCCTAGGTCACAACAGAAGTCATCTCAGAGGACTTAACAAAACCATTGAAATCACCAACACAGGTCAGAGAATCAACAGCCAAGACACATGGAGAATATAAAGCACACACAGAAGAAAATGTCCATACATGTTGTAGAATGCTAAAGTGTCCTGATCATCACCAATCCTTTCTGTTGGACACTAACTGTCCAACAAGACCCTCCTGCATCGACAAGGAAAAACTCTTAAAAAACTCACTTGTTCCTCAGCTGCCCTGGGGCACTTTCACAGAAGCGAGGCAACCAGTATGTGTCATCAGCCACTCTGACCACCACCAACCATTTTCACACACACAGAGAGACTTGTTATACAAAAAATATGACTTTTCAATAGAGGGCCCTGTGATAGGAGTAAAGGGAAAAACAACCCTCATGTCATGTGGTATTTTTGCCTGTATTTATATGTTGAGCTCATTTGCATATTCAAATCATTTCCACAAAACAAACGTTGCTTTTAGTGAATGATTGGATAAGCTTTTGTTGTGTCAGAGAAATAACAGAAAATGTAATAATAATATAAACCATAGTAAAACATTCATATCAAACATTAACAGAACCCTGACTGCCCGTTAGCGCCATCTGCTGGAGACAGTCTAAATCACATCCGAAGTGGAGTGGCCAGTTTATGTGTATGGTACAATTCATATCAACGAAGCGTGCTAAGCTTTACAAATGAAATACTACTTTTTAATTTTGTGTATAGGTATACTATGTACATTTTGGGGCTGTCCCCTGGACTCTGGAGGAGGTGAGGGACAGGAGGGTGCTAATCAAAGTCACCTCCATCATGGACACCTCCCACTGCACAGGACTGTAGAGGAGCTGAGGAGCTCTCTCGGTGCAAGAAGGAGCGCTACCGCAGGGCCTTTATCCCTGCCGCTGTCAGACTGTACAATAAGTCACTTTAAGTCACTATGACCTGCACTAGCACTGAAGAACCATCACTGCTATTGCCACATCCTTATTGTACATAATTATATCCTGTACAGACTATATTTTTTAAGTTACTGTTAAAGTTTGATGGGTTTTGGTTTACGTGTGGTTCTAGTGACTAGTGATGCTGTGTGGTGTAGTGGCCACCAGGTGGCGCCGTGAGCGAGAAAAACCCAAATGAACCCTTGTTGCCGGAAGTGTCTGCTTCTCAAACGGAAGTGAAAAGAATCAAGATGGAGGTGGATAGCGCTGACCATGTAGGTGTTTTTCAGCCTCTTTTCTCTCTTTATGTAGATCCATCGTAAACGTGTCTGTTTGTAGAACAGGTGCAGCTGCCTGTAGGTCTCATATGGGCCGGTCTGTTAGATTGTTGTCAGTGATTCTAAGAATCAGTTTCAGCTGAATCCAGTCCACAGACGCAGAGAGCGACTCTTTGCTGCATCATTGTAGCTTGAAGCTAACGCTAACAGCTAACCGCGTTAAAATATATAATAAATATGTCTGGTTTTATTCTATATTAAACTATATTCAACACACATTTTGCTATAATCATTTGGTGTTAATCATGTTTTTTCCGTGTATTGTGCGTTTCATTCAGATTTCTCCAGTAGCGTTAGTAATGACCACACACGGAGACACTTTGTTATTAAGAACAGTGTCATTAGTGTCATTGTGCTCTGCGTCCATCGTCACAGACTGTGAAGTCTGTGGCTGTCAGTGTTAATGCTCTCCTCTGTCTAGATGGATATGGGTGACAACAAAGGTGGAACGGGGCTCAGACAGTACTACTTATCAAAGATCGAAGAATTACAGGTATTCATTGTTCATTATCTCTGCGTCGTGAGGAATGATAATGTGTTTGAGTGTATTTCCTTCTCTGTGAACAGTTGACAGTAAATGACAAGAGTCAGAATCTGAGACGTCTTCAGGCTCAACGAAATGAGCTCAACGCCAAAGGTACAGTTTGTGTCATAGTATAATAAACATAAATGATACAGTTATTGATCTAATATGTTCTGATGTAGTGCGTCTACTCCGAGAGGAGCTGCAGCTGCTGCAGGAGCAGGGCTCGTATGTCGGGGAAGTTGTGCGGGTTATGGATAAAAAGAAAGTGCTGGTAAAGGTAAGATCTGATGTCTTTTATATTTATATTATTAATAAATATTTGAAGAGGGTTTCCTTTTATCCAATGTATGTCACTTCCAGGTGCATCCTGAAGGCAAATTTGTTGTGGATGTGGACAAAAATATAGACATAAATGACGTAAGGTTTATTTAGTATTTATCAACAATTGAATGATAATTGACATCGAATATTTAATATTTGAGACTTTCATTATGTTTGAAGGTCACTCCAAACTGTCGTGTGGCTCTCCGTAACGACAGCTACACGTTGCACAAGATTTTGCCAAACAAAGTGGACCCTCTGGTGTCGCTTATGATGGTTGAGAAGGTCCCAGACTCGACCTATGAAATGATTGGTGGACTAGATAAACAAATCAAGGAGATTAAAGAAGTTATCGAACTTCCTGTCAAGCATCCGGAGCTCTTTGAGGCGTTGGGAATCGCACAACCAAAGGTCTGTGCTTGTCTCCTGTCCCTGACCTTCTCCAGTGACGTTCTCCTCGATCAACGACTGTGTTGTTGTTTAGGGAGTGCTGTTGTACGGACCTCCAGGGACCGGGAAGACTCTGTTGGCCAGAGCGGTGGCTCACCACACGGACTGCACCTTCATCAGGGTCTCCGGCTCAGAGCTGGTCCAGAAGTTTATTGGAGAAGGTACGAGGCGCTGCCTGGTGTTGTTCTGATCTGTATGACATCATCCTTCTGTGTGCAGGAGCTCGTATGGTGCGAGAGCTGTTCGTCATGGCCAGAGAGCACGCTCCCTCCATCATATTTATGGACGAGATCGATTCCATCGGTTCATCTCGTCTGGAAGGCGGCTCGGGCGGCGACAGTGAAGTTCAGAGGACGATGTTAGAGCTGCTCAATCAGCTCGACGGATTTGAAGCCACAAAAAATATCAAGGTGAACCTTAAGTAAAAGTAAAACCTTTTGATTTTACGTCTCCTGAGACAAGGGACATTTATAAAACACAAATGTATATTAGCAATAATCATTTTAAAAGTCAATAGATTCATGGAAATGCTGTGGCAAAGCCATAGCCAGATTTAAATGCACCTTTAGTTGCAATAGTTCTAGTTTCTGTGGAAGAGTGTTCCTCAGACGAGAAACACAAGAATTATATTCTGCCTTGCTCTTCTTGGTCCTGATGTGGAACAGACCTATGCTGCACATATTTTGGGGCTTGAACATTTCTTGATTTATAATAAAATGTATTGTTCCTCAAGGTGATCATGGCGACCAACAGAATTGACATCTTGGACTCTGCCTTGCTACGGCCTGGAAGAATTGACAGAAAGATTGAATTTCCCCCTCCCAACGAAGAGGTAAGTTTGTGCCGTGATTTAAAAACACATCGAAGAGACACTTGGGACAAACACCTCCCTGTTTTCTAGGCGCGTCTCGACATTTTGAAGATTCACTCCCGGAAAATGAACCTCACTCGTGGGATCAACCTGAGGAAGATCGCGGAGCTGATGCCCGGAGCGTCTGGAGCTGAAGTCAAAGTAAAAAAACAAAACCTCCATTTAAGAATGTGTTTTTTTCTGAGCTGGATCTTGAGGTGTGTCGCTCTGTGTTCAGGGCGTCTGTACCGAGGCCGGCATGTACGCACTGAGAGAGCGGCGCGTGCACGTGAACCAGGAGGACTTCGAGATGGCGGTGGCGAAGGTAAGTCCAGAGAATTACACTTTTTTAGCCGTTTCTGGTCCTCACTCGACGCTGTTTTCAGGTGATGCAAAAAGACAGCGAGAAGAACATGTCGATCAAGAAGTTATGGAAATAGAGGACGGCTCTTTATCATCGGACACACGGCAAAACACTTATGTATATTTTTCCCTTTTTCGTTTCTGGTTTGATTTATAATTGTTACATAAGTCATTCAACAGAATAAATGGTTTCCCAAACAAACTCACGGCGTTCGTTACTTTTCTCCTGCTCGTTTTATTCATCACCAGTTTGTACAATATGGCACTTGGCTCGACACATGGTTCTGCTACAACAGTCCGACATGCAGGAAGCGTCTGGTTACATTTCAGTTTGTCATCCACTACACACAGGAGTCTTGATGGAAACTAATGAGTCTGTTATGGTCACATCACACCTTCGCCCTCCACACATTTTGCACGTTTTATGATTATTTGTATTAAAAGATGGAAGCTAATGGAACATGTTAAAAACGCTTCATATTTAGAGACGGTCTTTTACCCGTTGGCCTATACACGGGTCACAGTGATTTAAAAAATGCCCTAAATTAACAATATGACCAGCCCTTGGTCATTTAGAGAAAACATTAGGGAAACATTCACGATTTAACTATTTCAATCTGTTAAATCTGTCATTTTGACGAACCAGCGAAGGGTTTAGTCACAGGTGTTAACCATGTGACCTGCTCCTGAATGTTGCCTGTCTATTTCTAGTGGTCCATCCATTTTCTACCCCTTAATCCATTTCTGGGTCAGGGGAAGTCTCGTAGCACCAGCCCCTCACTGATCCTCTGCAGGTGGTGAGTCCACAGGAGGTCAGCTGCTCTGTCAGTGTGAGCACAGCCTTGATCTTTCAGCGGGGGCTTCAGGCAAAGTGGGACTCAAAGGCCAATGCTCTACCAACTGAACCACTATCGGCCATTTCAGTCCAAACAAACAGTAGTAGCTGAACTAATTTTGTTCGGAGGAATCTACCTGAAATAATCTTCCAACTCGGGCTACATCAAGCTCCCTTTGTCTAAATACTTTCCTAATGTAAAACATGCAAATACACATATCCACAGATGCAAAGATGAGCTTCAAACACTTTTAGACTTGCTGTAATAAACTCTTGATTTAACAGGTCTATGTCAATCTGTTTTCTAAATACGAACTGACATCAGGGAAATACAGATCGTAAGCTGCGTCTCTCGATCAGAAGTTAAAATGGGTCTAAAATGAAACGTATAATGTCTGTTATACAAATATGTTTAGGGCGTAGAGTGTTCTTAGTAGGTCCTTCTAAACCTTAAAAGATTCAGATTCATTTACCATTTGCTGTAAAACCACAGTGGAAAAGATTGGCAAAAGTCCCCAGTGTGTAAAGCGTTCGCTGTCTGTGTCGAAACGATCCAAACTAAAACACAAACACAAGATCGGAAACAATAAAGCGTGGGTCGTGGGCACTGTGCGTGATCCGTCATCTGTCATCTTGGCACGAATGGAGGTTGGGGAAAAGGCTAACAGCGGAGCCAGGAGACGGGCACCCACTGCGGCTCGCACTGCACCCGCTCCATCACCAGCTGCAGCTCGATTAAGGCACTGGCCGCGTCCTCCTTCAGCAGCACGTAGTCCACCAGGTGACCGTAGCTCTCGTCTATGACGTCCGCCGACTGCTGCATCTCCATCAGGTCGTCCTCCTGAGGGAACAACACGCTTCATGACGGAGGATTCTCTTTCAGTTCTGTTCAGAGGATGTGAGAGAGATGTATTTTTATTTTTTTCAGGACAGTTGAGAAGTGTCCTTGGGAGGCGCCGTGATTCTAGGTTGGCACCCTCAAAATATGTCTTATTTTAATGCACATTAGAAAAACACAAAGCAGGGACAGGAAGCCACATGGAGGGGATGGGGATCAGAGAGCAGAAGATCCATGCACTACACCATCAGGAATCGGACATTGTCGGTGGAGAAGGCAGTGGCGGCCTCCCTCCTGTTGCTGCTATTGTTATGGTTATTATTATTATTGATGGTGGTAATGGTATTAGTATTATCAATATTATTATTACTATTAATTGTATTTTATTTTTTTATTTTGTAAAATTATAAGCAATGCACATACACACATCTACACAAAACATTGTTCACTGTCCCTGTCTGTATTCTATGTATTCTTGTACCGTGTATGTTTGTCATTTACCTGTTTGTTTTGAATTTTGTATTGTATCTTTGTTGGAATTAATAAAAATAAAAACAAAAATACACATATATAGCAATACATACAAAGACAAAAACTAAAATATTTACATTATATACAGAAACAAGTGACATTCATCACAGGTATGTTAAGAAATAAGGTATTATAAATGATTTTAATGACTAATATTAGAGAGAAAGAGAATAAACATTGACAGTTGTTTTTTTTTGCTGTTTATAAGGGTTGACTGCTTGGAAGGATGGTTTGGTTTTGTTGTATTTGCTTCTATGTATGTGGTGTTTGCCAAATATTATGAATATGTTGGTAATTGTGAGAGAGAAGTTACCGTTATGGCGGAAGAGAGAGAAGACGTGGAGCCCAGCAGTTTCCTCTGAGAGTTCAGGACTCGAGGTCTGACGAAAATGACGTACGGCCTGAACTCTGGCGTCCGCAGGGATTTCAGAGCCTAAGACCATGGATTAAAACAGTTACATTTGGACCAATCCTCAAACCTTTGCTCAATTCATTTAAAAGTATTCTTGTTTCGCCTTAAATCACAACAGTAGTTTACTCAAAGGACTTTACAAAACTGTTGAATTCGCCGACACAGATCAGAGAATCGACAGTTCAAACACCAGAAATGCACTGATAAAAACCCACACAGAGCCAGGGTTAAGGTTATGATCAACGTCCGTAAATGATGATAAAAAAAGTCTACTTAAAAATGTGTTTCTGTGGGAGCCATACTTATTTTATTACTGTGAATTTGTGCATGTGTTAAGAGTATGACAATAGAATTAGTCTTTTTTTCTTCTTATTTTTATTTTTTTAAAGAGTGTCACGTTTGGTTCAATGCAAATTTTATACTCAAGAAATCCTACACAAAATATTATTAATGCCTACTAAGATGTGTCCGAGAGCCAGACAAAATCATCAAAAGAGCCACATCTGACTCCAGAGCCACAGGTTCCTGAGCCCTGTTCTAGTGAGACCCTTAAGACCCTCCTGCATCGACTCTAATGTCACCAACACTCACCTCCGGCTGCACATCCACCAGGCAGACCTTGTTGTGGGCCAGGACTCTGTGGATGGATTCTAAACTGGTGCCGTACAGATTGTCCTTATACTCTCCGTACTCGATAAATCTGTGAACAGTGAGGTGCAGATGGCGAGCGCTGTTTACGGCACGTTGTCCACAAAGCTGCATTGTCACCATCTGTCTTTGTGAAGATAAAGCTGTCACTCACTTGCCGTTGTGCATGTCGTCCTCAAACGCAGCTTTACTGATGAAGTGGTACTCCACGCCCTCTCTCTCCTGGCTCCTCCGCGCTCGAGTGGTGTCTGACACACAGTGTTCATAACACACTTATATTTGTGCCACTGAAATAATGCTAATCCAATCCACTTTATTTATGTAGCACATTTCATAAACAAGCAGTTTCCAAAGTGCTGTACAACAAGCAAATAATGGCATCAAATAAATACATACACACACGTATATATAAAAAAAGGATATCATGTTTAATCTCATAAACTGTTTATGTTTACAGAGATTACACGGTCTGAATAAATCTATATTTCTAATCCTGTAGATTACAAAACCACATCTGTTATCCATCTATACAGCGAGAGAGACTGAGATTATAGGGGCAGGAAAAGGTAATGTAAAAGAAAAGCCTCTCTGAGACTTACGTGGCACAGCCAGGCCGTAGCGCCGCGGGTTCTCTGCGATGACCTTCTGTTTGAGCTCTGTGGTCCGTGCTCCCAGTGATCCTGACAGAAGGACACAGATGTTAGTCCCTGTATATGTGTTCACATACTGTACATATATTTATATACATCACCGATGAGCACTATGAGGCGGGGGTTCTCGTCGGGCCGAGGCAGGTACTGAGTGACCTCCTCATAAATCAGGAAGTCTGTGTTCCCGTCAGAGCGCACGTCTCCAGGTGAAACCTGGCGATCTTTCTTCAGCCGCAGAGTCCGGCTCAGACTGGCTGCATGTACGACACAAGAAGCCGTTTATTCACAACATTGTTCCGACAGTTCCTAGAAACTACTCTCTCAGAACAAATAAAGAATGGACAAAGCTCACATTAAACATATGTGAGTAAACACAGTGGTCAGAGCCACAGCTGCCCCACGTGCCACAAACACGTGATGAGCAAAACATCAAACCAACAATTGCTTTAACTCAGAAGCAGCAACACAAACTCAGGGAAATACCACAACATCATCAGCTCTGGGTTTTATTGTCCAACACTGGAGTTAACAAACCACTGGTTCATGTTTATGCGACGCAGCAGAAGCTCTTAATCAAAGCAGAGTAATCTGGGCTCCTCACCAAAGTCCTTCCCGTTCAGAAGAGCTTCACAGTCACAGTCTTCTGCAGAGGAACAACAGAGAAACATGCTTCAGATAAAACCACACATTAAATATGTAACGTCAAAATCAAAGAGGATTTCAGGGAAAAATACATGAGAGGAAACACATGCTGTGTTTGAGCCTTACCTTTATCGGCCTGATCGTCTGATGCATGAACACAGGATAGTTTTATTTAACACAAAACACGATGCTCTGCTCCTTATGACTCCACACAGACTCACTCATACTCAGACTACAGTAACCTGCTCAGACTCAGACTCAGACTCAGACTACAGTAACCTGCTCAGACTCAGACTCAGACTACAGTAACCTGCTCAGACTCAGACTCAGACTACAGAAACCTGCTCAGACTCAGACTCAGACTACAGAAACCTGCTCAGACTCAGACTACAGTAACCTGCTCAGACTCAGACTCAGACTACAGTAACCTACTCAGACTCAGACTACAGTAACCTGCTCAGACTCAGACTCAGACTTAGACTCAGACTGCAGAAACCTGCTCAGACTCAGACTTAGACTCAGACTGCAGAAACCTGCTCAGACTCAGACTTAGACTCAGACTACAGTAACCTGCTCAGACTCAGACTACAGTAACCTGCTCAGACTCAGACTTAGACTCAGACTGCAGAAACCTGCTCAGACTCAGACTTAGACTCAGACTACAGTAACCTGCTCAGACTCAGACTACAGTAACCTGCTCAGACTCAGACTTAGACTCAGACTACAGTAACCTGCTCAGACTCAGACTTAGACTCAGACTACAGTAACCTGCTCAGACTCAGACTACAGTAACCTGCTCAGACTCAGACTTAGACTCAGACTGCAGAAACCTGCTCAGACTCAGACTACAGTAACCTGCTCAGACTCAGACTACAGTAACCTGCTCAGACTCAGACTACAGTAACCTGCTCAGACTCAGACTCAGACTACAGAAACCTGCTCAGACTATGTTAATGTTGATGATAATACAAAGTTGAATGACTTTATATTTAGCTCCAAAAGTGGAGCAGTAGCGTGGTGGTAATGATAAACTGTGGTATTTCCTCCTAATCTTCCTGTGATAGATGAGATTACAATGCGCTTGTCGTAGCGTGGCTTAGTGATTGTACAGAATAATGGTTCTTACATGTTGGAACTTTGATGGCGTTTGGATGAGGAAAGGAGCCCATTTTCATCCTGTATCTCAAACGTCTGAAGCAGAAACCAAAAATTCAAATATGTTAGACACATGTAGATGTGAGTTCAGTCCTTCAGTACCTCTCCTGAAACTGAGTGGAGGGAATAAGAGCAGCGCGCAGGTTACTGTCCCCCACTTTCTTGGCCTGCCACCAGGTGGCGTCCTCCTGACTGACCACCTGCAGTACGTCTCCTCTCCTGAAGGGGAGCCCTGCCTCCTGGCAGGGGGTGGCTTTATCCTCAAAGGGAGTGTAGTCGAACAGAGAGCGGAGGTAAACCTAAAGAGTCCAAACATGACGAACACATCAGAGGCTGGAGACTAAAGTGTGGACCAGTTTGAACAGACCCTGCTCTCCTTCAGCCGGTCTTCTTCTGCCACTGCTGGAACTATCTTCAGTGTGATGGTTCCTTGGGACTGGGACTAGGACATAAACAAGTTATGTTTAAACAGATCTTATAAACAACTCATGCCTTTGTTTCCATTCACCAGTATTTGGCTGATTTCGTCCGGCCGCCGGTGCGTGATCACTTTACCGTTCACCTCTCGCAGTTCGTCTCCGACATGAACCAGACCTGAAACAAAAACCTTTGTCAGAGCAGAGGAAACCAGCGCCTCCTGATTGTAATCTCAATGATACAATCTCGTGGCACTAATCTCAAGGACTTGATCTCTTGTTGACAGTTTCAGGGGTTACGCCGCATAATCCCCTGGATCTGTCAGTAGTATCAAGAAAGTCAAGAGAAGCATGGCAGCTCAGAGCTGTGTGTGTTTACAGTAGCATGAAGTACTGTATCTTCATGACCATCTCACCACTTCTATCCGCCGCTCCTCCTCTCATGATTCTGGCCACGACCACAGCCCCAGTGGCCTCATCTCTGCGAATAGTGGCCCCCTTTTCAAAACACAAATACTTTACATTAGGCCAACGAAGGTCATGTTTAGGTCCTCGTTCTACAGCCTGACAGACATTTATCGACTTCTATTAACGTTTATGGACATCTGCCCCTTATGGACCAATGTCTCTATGTGTTATTATCAGTGCAGTAGTGTTTTAACTGTTTGATTCTCTGATCTGTGTTGGCCAATCGACAGCTTTGTAAAGTCCTTAGAGTTATTGAAGGTGATCTGAAACCTACTGTCACTGACACGCTTTTATTTCACAAAGATAAAACCTGAAAATCTGAATAAATGGTTTCTTTCTCACCAGAGGTTCCTTGTTTTTCACCAAACGCACAATTTTCACCGACTCCTCCTCAAAGTCATCGTGCAGTTCTTCAGGCAGAGGGGGCAGCACGGGGTCAAAGTTCTTCTGGGCAACAGTGTCGTGGGCAAATAGCACTGCCTGAGGAGAAAAGGCACGTGGGAAATCCAAAAGAATAAGAATAAGTTAAATCTATGAAGAAGCAGCTGTAAAACCCTCACACTTTAGGCACTTTTCTAACCGCCTGAACTTATGACTGCTGAAGAGAGAGAGACTAGAGAGAGAGCAGAGAGAGACCAGAGAGAGAGCAGAGAGAGACCAGAGAGAGACCAGAGAGAGACCAGAGAGAGACCAGAGAGAGACTTGAGAGAGACCAGAGAGAGACAGAGAGAGAGAGAGAGACCAGAGAGAGACCAGAGAGAGAGACCAGAGAGAGACTAGAGAGAGACCAGAGAGAGACCAGAGAGAGACCAGAGAGAGACTTGAGAGAGACCAGAGAGAGAGCAGAGAGAGAGCAGAGAGAGACCAGAGAGAGAGCAGAGAGAGACCAGAGAGAGACCAGAGAGAGACCAGAGAGAGACCAGAGAGAGAGACCAGAGAGAGACCAGAGAGAGACCAGAGAGAGAGACCAGAGAGAGACCAGAGAGAGACCAGAGAGAGAGACCAGAGATTTCAAAGCTGTTGGTTGTTGGTCTGAGCGCTGCTGCAGCTGTCAAAAGCCGTGCATACACTGTCAAATACAGCTGCAGAGGACACTGTACTGAGGAGGAAGACTGGAGAGAGACCAGAGAGAGACCTGAAAGAGACCAGAGAGAGACTTGAGAGAAACCTGAGAGAGACCTGAGAGAGACTTGAGAGAGACTTGCGAGAGACTTGCGAGAGACCAGAGAGACTTGAGAGAGACCTGAGAGAGACCAGAGAGAGACCAGAGAGAGACCAGAGAGAGACCGGAGAGAGACCGGAGAGAGACCTGAGAGAGACCAGACAGAAAGAGACTAGAGACACCAGAGAGACCAGAGAGACTTGAGAGAGACCTGAGAGAGACCAGAGAGAGACCAGAGGGAGAGAGACTAGAGAGACCAGAGACCAGAGAGAGACCGTCCTCTAAACTAATCATTGCTGTGTTTCTGACTTAACCGTGTTAAACTAGTGAAAAGTGAACCACGTTTTAGCGAGAGACCGCTGTCATGTTTTTCACACAGACAAAGGTAAAAACAAGTATCTTATGAACGTTACCATGTGTCGCTGCACATTTACGTTCACAGTTGTACCTTGAGGTGAGGAGCACTGAGGAGGAGGAGCAGCTCTCTCTCGTCCTCCTCCAGCGGCCCGTTCTGCAGGTCTTCAGTCAGCTGAGAATAAAAACAGACACAGTTTTGCTTCTGATTTACCAGGATCGCAAGAAAAATGACCTGGGCTGCACTTACATCTTCCACCAGACAGGAGGCGCTGTCCAACACTGGCTCTGGACCAAGCTTTTCATACACCTTCAGCTTTTCATGGATCTGTAAACATAGGTAGAATCCTGTCCAATCCGCTTTAGTTTTACAGCACACTTTATGATACAAGATTACAGTAGAATGCACAGAATGTTTAAAGGTGATGTCACAATTAGCCTAACTTCAGTCGAGTTATTAGAATGTATTAGTTTTACAGCCCCTAAATCTTGTTATTGTTTTCATTTCGATGTCCCGCCCTTCACTGTTTCACCAATCAGAAAGTATGTGATCCGGGTTGCCAGAACTCACTGTGCCGAGCTAATCTGCCCAGCTAATCTGTGCTAAAAATGGTCTTGTTATGATTCTCAATTTATTAATGACAAAACGGTCCCAGCTGGATGCGTCTGCATACCTGGCAACATGAGTCAGGGAGAGTGCAGTAACACTCTCTGATGTACCAGAGAGAGACTTGAGAGAGACCGGAGATAGACTAGAGAGAGACCGAGAGAGAGACTAGAGAGAGACCAGAAAGAGAGACTAGAGAGAGACCAGAGAGAGAGACTAGAGAGAGACCAGAGAGAGAGACTAGAGAGAGAGACTAGAGAGAGAACAGAGAGAGAGACTAGAGAGAGAAACCAGAGAGAGACTAGAGAGAGAGACTAGAGAGAGACTAGAGAGAGACCAGAGAGAGAGAGTAGAGAGAGAAACCAGAGAGAGAGACCAGAGAGAGAGACTAGAGAGAGAGAGAGACTAGAGAGAGACCAGAGAGAGAGACTAGAGAGAGAGACAAGAGAGAGACCAGAGAGAGAGACCAGAGAGAGAGAGAGAGAGAGAGAGAGAGAGACTAGAGAGAGAGAGAGACTAGAGAGAGACCAGAGAGAGAGACTAGAGAGAGAGACTAGAGAGAGAGAGAGACTAGAGAGAGACTAGAGAGAGAGACAAGAGAGAGACCAGAGAGAGAGACCAGAGAGAGAGAGTAGGGAGAGAGAGAGACTAGAGAGAGACCAGAGAGAGAGACTAGAGAGAGAGACTAGAGAGAGACCAGAGAGAGACCAGAGAGACTAGAGAGAGACTAGAGAGAGACTAGAGAGAGAGAGAGACTAGAGAGAGACCAGAGAGAGAGACTAGAGAGAGAAACCAGAGAGAGACTAGAGAGAGAGACTAGAGAGAGACCAGAGAGAGAGAGTAGAGAGAGAAACCAGAGAGAGACTAGAGAGAGAGACTAGAGAGAGACCAGAGAGAGAGACTAGAGAGAGAGACTAAAGAGAGACCAGAGCGAGAGACTAGAGAGAGAGACCAGAGAGAAACCAGAGAGAGAGACTAGAGAGAGAGACCAGAGAGAGAGACCAGAGAGAGAGACTAGAGAGAGACCAGAGAGAGACTAGAGAGAGACTAGAGAGAGACTAGAGAGAGACCAGAGAGAGAGACTAGAGAGAGACCAGAGAGAGACCAGAGAGAGAGACCAGAGAGAGAGACAAGAGAGAGAGACTAGAGAGAGACCAGAGAGAGAGACTAGAGAGAGAGACCAGAGAGAGAGACCAGAGAGAGAGACTAGAGAGAGAAACCAGAGAGAGAGACCAGAGAGAGAGACTAGAGAGAGAGACCAGAGAGAGACCAGAGAGAGAGACCAGAGAGAGACCAGAGAGAGAGACTAGAGAGAGAGACCAGAGAGAGACCAGAGAGAGAGACTAGAGAGAGAGACCAGAGAGAGACTTGAGAGAGACCAGAGAGAGACCAGAGAGAGACCAGAGAGAGAGACTAGAGAGAGAGACCAGAGAGAGACCAGAGAGAGAGACTAGAGAGAGACCAGAGAGAGAGACTAGAAGAGAGACCAGAGAGAGACCAGAGAGAGAGACTAGAGAAAGAGACCAGAGAGAGATCAGAGAGAAACCTGAATCAGGGAGAGTGCGGTAACACTTTTGGCCAGATTTTTTACATACTTCTTCTTTTAAAAATGTCTTTCTTTAATAAAAAAATGTTTATTTCTGACCTTGGGACCTTGTGTATGTAATGTCTTTTCATTATTTGCAGTGTAGAAATATCATACTGCAAAATATACGTCACATGCGACTTTAAACTTTGACTTCAGTCATGCCTTTGTCTCTACAGCCTCTGCTTCTTCCCAGAATCCTTCAGTCCTGGGTTTGTCTCTACAGCCTCTGCTTCTTCCCAGAATCCTTCAGTCCTGGGTTTCGTACCTTGATGAGGTAAGCCAGGCTCTTCTCACTCAGCACGTCTTTGAGGAAGGACAGGTCGTCTCTGTGTCTGGCGTCAGGATGGAGCTGAGCCGTCAGGACCGCCAGCGTCTCGTGCATCCCTGGAACACATCAACATTCTGCTGCTGTCAGACTGTACAACGAACAATGAGGACTAACAAACACTGCCGACCTGACCTCACATGTTGTGCATCGGTGCAATCATTTGAACTAATGTCAGAATGTGAAATACAGATGTGTCCACTGTCATTTGACTTTTTACTTTGTCCCAGACCCTGGAGCTGCTAACATGTACAGTATATAAAACGATATATTTACAGCACTAGAATATTATTGTTATAGTTTTTTATGCTAAAGTTAAAGATATACCTAATTCTTGCTTCTTCATATGCTAAAGTTAGAGATTTAACACTGGCTTCTTTATTATGCTAAAGTTCTGGGTGAGTGGATAGCGCTCTCACTTTTCCGGCAAGAAGGTCCTAGGTTTGAATCCCGGTCGGAACAGGGCCTTTCTGAGTGGACTTTGCATGTTCTCCCCGTGTCTGCGTTGGTTTCCTCCGGGTGCTGCAGTTCCCTCTACCGCTAAAAGCATGCACAATAGGTCTAACATGTGCCTGCTGTACGGGGGACCCTGCTCTCATCTATATCAACATACTATTTATTTATTATGCTAAAGTTACAGATTGTATACTTGCTTCTTTTTTATGCTAAAGTTAGAGTTAGTGTAGAGTTATTGTTCATTTGTCTTGTGTTGTGTGCTCCTCATTCCAACTGCTCTGTAACTGCTGATGCAACACTGACATTTCCTCACTGTGGGACAAACAAGAAATCTCAAGTCGTATCTGGACCCAGGCGTCTGCTGCTGCACTGTCGGCTCGATGCATTCACACACGTGTTATTCATGAGGCTTTCAATTGCAGCGGGAGATTAGAGAGATCAGAGAGCGGGGAACCTTTGGCTGCAGACACCACAGGCATGGTTCCAATCCTTCACCGCGATCGGAGAGAACAGCAGAGGGTCGTCCACGAGAGGAGGAGGCTCAGGAGTGCAGAGCCATGTGGGTCTGAAAAACAGCGTCGGTGAAAATGACCTTTGGTTTTGCAAAGAACATGTACTTTAAAGTAGTAATATGTAAGATTTTCATGTCAGGTCAGTCTTAAATAGCCTTTAATGGTCCTTTCCATGGAAAATGAATGGATTAAGGGGTAGAAAATGGATGGATAGTCTTTGCCAATACTTTAACCTTTAGCAGTAGTTCAGCCGAGATATTGGAATTTCAAAATTAGTTTTATAGCCCCCAAATCTTGTTATTGTTTTCATTTCGATGTCCCGCTCTCCACCGTTTTACCAATCAGAAAGTCTGTGATACGGGTTGCCAGAACTCACCGCGTCGAGCTAATCTCACTGGTAAAGTAACATGTGGCCACAGTACGAAAAAACGGTCTCAGTACAAGGAAAAACAAGGAATAAAAGAGAGGATTTTTATCAGGGTGTTGGTTATAGAGTTGTTGTAGACAAAAATGTTGTCTATTCAGATATTATGGTCCCAGCTGGATTCGTCTGCATATCTGGCAACCTGAGTCAGGGAGAGTTGAAGAGGTTGCAGTGTCACTTTTGGCCAAATTTTTATGATACATATTCCACCTTAAACATTCAGGACAGACAAGAACACAGCTGTAGAATCAAATATACAGGACTCTAACACGACAGCATTGTGAGATTAATAAAGTTTATTTTATCTTATTATTGAAACATCTGTAAATGTTGTATAGCATTAGGTCTGGCTGAATGATGCCCTTGACCGCCCTTAGGGATGGAGGAGCTCTCTCTAGTGTCAGGACTGGGCGGTGACATTACCCCCACCCCCCCACAAACTATTTCACGCCTCATGAAACCCACACACCCCAGCTTTAAACCAGAGAATACATCTGTACAGGACACTGCACCATGACGCACACACACTCAGCAACACACCTCTCTGCTGGAATAGACAACCTGCTGCCAAACTACATCCCAAAGTGTCTCTATCGGACGGAGATCTGTGACTGTGGAGGCCATTACAGTACAGTCAACTTATTTTCATGTTCGAGAAACCAGTCTGTGATGATTTGAGCTTTATGACAAGATGTTTTATCTGCTGGAAGTAGCATCAGAAGATGGTAAACTGTGGTAATAAAGGGATGGACATGGTCAGCAACAATACTCAGGAGGGCTGTGGCAACGATGCTCAACTGGTCCTAAGGGACTCAAAGAGTGCCAAGAAAATATCCCCCATTTCATTACACCCCCACCACCAGCCTGAACTGTTGATACAAGGCAGAATCCATGCTTTCATGCAAATACTGACCCTACCATCCAAATGTTACAGCAGAAATCGAGACTCATCAGACCAGGCAACTTTTTCTTATCTTCTATTGTCCATATTTGGTGAATGGTGAGCCTGTGCGAATTGTAGCCTCAGTTTCCTGTTTTTAGCTGACAGGAGTGGCACCCGGTGTGGTCTTCTTCTGCTGTTGCCCATCTGCCTCAAGGTCTGAGGTGTTCTGTGATCAGAGAGGCTCTTGCAGACCTTGTCTGTAACAAGTGGTTGTTTGAGTTTCTGTTGCCTTTCTATCAGCTCAAACCAGTCTGGCCATTCACCTCTGACCTCTGGCATCAACAAGGCCTTTTCTCCCACCAAACTGCCGCTCACTGGATATTTTCTCTTTTTCAGACCATTCTCTGTAAACCCTAGAGATGGTTGTGTGTGAAAATCTCAGTGGATCAGAAGTTTCTGAAATACTCAGACCAGCCCGTCTGGCACCAACAACTATGCCACGTTCAAAGTCACTTAAATCTCCTTTCTTCCCCATTCTGACGCTCGGTTTGAACTGCAGCACATCGTCTTGACCATATCTACATGCCTAAATGCATTGAGTTGCTGCCATGTGATTGGCTGATTAGGAATTTGCGTTAAATTGGAGTTGGATGGGTCGGGTGTCCCTAATGAAGTGGTCGGTGAGTGTATAATACCCATGATAAAAGCAGGTCTAATTCTCGTATAGTTCACTCAGAGCCATTTGCTGAAGTTACCACAAACGTCAGCCTTGTTCTAAACCCGTCCATAAAAGAGCGTTCCGAGGCGGTGGCGTGAGCGTTGCCCTCCCTCAGCGCTGGACGTTGGACATTGATGATAAAACCATAAATGGATTTTTGCTCCATCAGCAGCGGCTTTTACTCTGCTCCAATAATCCATGCAGCACATTAGTGACTGCACCGAGGGCAAGTGGCGAGATGTGGCTCAACGCACAACCAGAGGAAAAACATCCAAAAGTTTCAGAGATTTTAACCCCGGAGCAGAGAGAGCGAGGACAAACTAGGACCAAAGTCTGACTCCTGGATCTGTGGGATACTTACACACACGTAAACATGTGTGTGCCTGTACTTTTCTTCTGTTGTGTAAACTGGACAAGTGGATTATGTCTCTATAATCCCACATGTTTCAGAAAAATGGCTGATGGAGAAATATCTGTGTGAAATTTATCTATATTTGTACACTCACGTCTGAAGTCTGCAGCCTTTGTCACCACAGCCAAAAGAATTAGACCCAAACAACTATAGATATATCTTGGAATAATCAACAAATGAATGTCTTTTGGGAGCCATTTGGAAAAGAGACTGGTGGCAAATTTGTAAAAGAAAGTCCATTCTGTCCACAGATTGTTGTAATGAAGGACTCACAGATGGAGCAAAATAAAACCTTGATCACTATTGTTCCTGAAACCACTACTTTTTAAATCTGACCAAACCTGTTCTTTCTGATAAATGTTAAAAACAGAGGTCTCTCACCACACTGCGGGTCACCTCTCGCTTTTCGCTGATTTTTATATGCAATTTTGCTTTTTTACAACTTTTTTACAACCTGGTCTTTCTCTAGTCTCTCTCTGGTCTCTCTATGGTCTCGGTCTGGTCTCTCTCTGGTCTCTCTGTAGTCTCTCTCTAGACTCTCTCTCTCTAGTCTCTCTCTGGTCTCTCTCTCTCTCTTTCTAGTCTCTCTCTCTGGTCTCACTCTGGTCTCTCTCTAGTCTCTCTCAGGTCTCTCTCTAGTCTCTCCTGGTCTGTCTCTGGTCTCTCTCTCTAGTTTCTCTCTGGTCCTTCTCTGGTCTCTCTCTGGTCTCTCTGTAGTCTCTCTCTAGACTCTCTCTCTGGTCTCTCTCTCTCTCTAGTCTCTCTCTAGACTCTCTCTCTCTCTGGTCTCTCTCTCTCTCTAGTCTCTCTCTCTGGTCTCTCTCTCTCTCTAGTCTCTCTCTATGTCTCTCTCTCTGGTCTCACTCTGGTCTCTCTCAGGTCTCTCTCTAGTTTCTCTCTGGTCCTTCTCTAGTCTCTCTCTCTCTGGTCTCTCTCTCTCTGGTCTCTCTCCAGTCTGTCTCTGGTCTCTCTCTCTCTCTCTATGTCTCTCTCTCTGGTCTCTCTCTAGTCTCTCTCTGGTCTCTCTCTCTCTCTAGTCTCTCTCTCTGGTCTCTCTCTCTCTCTAGTTTCTCTCTGATCTCTCTCTCTCTCTCTCTAGTCTCTCTCTATGTCTCTCTCTCTGGTCTCACTCTGGTCTCTCTCAGGTCTCTCTCTAGTTTCTCTCTGGTCCTTCTCTAGTCTCTCTCTCTCTGGTCTCTCTCTGGTCTCTCTCTCTCTCTCTATGTCTCTCTCTCTGGTCTCTCTCTAGTCTCTCTCTGGTCTCTCTCTCTCTCTCTCTCTCTAGTCTCTCTCTATGTCTCTCTCTCTGGTCTGTCTCTGGTCTCTCTCTCTAGTTTCTTTCTAGTCTCTCTCTGGTCTCTCTCTAGTGTCTCTCTCAGGTCTTTCTCTCTGGTCTCACTCTGGTCTCTCTCTAGTCTCTCTCAGGTCTCTCTCTAGTCTCTCCTGGTCTGTCTATGGTCTCTCTCTCTAGTTTCTCTCTGGTCCTTCTCTGGTCTCTCTCTGGTCTCTCTGTAGTCTCTCTCTAGACTCTCTCTCTGGTCTCTCTCTCTCTCTAGTCTCTCTCTCTGGTCTCTCTCTCTCTCTAGTTTCTCTCTGATCTCTCTCTCTCTCTAGTCTCTCTCTATGTCTCTCTCTCTGGTCTCACTCTGGTCTCTCTCAGGTCTCTCTCTAGTTTCTCTCTGGTCCTTCTCTAGTCTCTCTCTCTCTGGTCTCTCTCTGGTCTCTCTCTCTGGTCTCTCTCCAGTCTGTCTCTGGTCTCTCTCTCTCTCTCTCTCTCTAGTCTCTCTCTATGTCTCTCTCTCTGGTCTGTCTCTGGTCTCTCTCTCTAGTTTCTTTCTAGTCTCTCTCTGGTCTCTCTCTAGTGTCTCTCTCAGGTCTTTCTCTCTGGTCTCTCTCTGGTCTCTCTCTCTGGTCTCTCTATGGTCTTAAAACATACAGTTGCTACTTCACAGATTTCACTTATTGTGGGTTTCATTTCTCGCACATAACTGAACGATAAAACCAGGGACCACTGTAATAAATATAAAGAAGGGGTGGGATTTAATCATCTTTGGCTTCTTCCTCCTTTTGAACATAAATTAGTGTTAAGTCTTGTTGTTGACATTTGTCTTGTATTTATTGTTGTTTGTTTTTAGTTTATATTTTATTTTTGTATTATTACATATGTTAAAATAAACCTGCAGGTCTATCCCCAGATCCAGCCTTTTATTTTAGATCTCGTGTGCCGGTCTCGGTTCTCACCCAAACATCAGTAGTGTCCCATCAGAGTCCAGATCCGAGTCCTAACACATCCAGGTCCAGAGAGAGCCTGTCCGTCCCGGTCACACTCGCCCCAGGTTGTGACCCTCTTTCCCTCTGTCCATCTCTCTAATTACAGACTGGAGAGGCTTAAGTCCATATGGTGGCATTATTTACACATGGTTCTTTCTACTGGGATCTGGACTTCTCTGAGGCGTCCACACACACAGTACAATGGAGCGGATTAGAACGAGCTGGTGGAGTCGTGTGAGGAGTAATAGACGGAGTGTCG